ATGTGAATTTGTTGTATTAGATAACGTACACATAAATATATATAATATATGTATATAATTTCCATGTAACAAAATTAGTTCCCGTACTCCTCCAAAACGGCTTTACCGATTTTTACCAAATTTTATTGTATTCAGTAGGTCTGAGAATCCGGTATTATCTATTTTTCATATCCCTAAGTGATAAGGGTTGTTCATCCCAATTTTTTTTTTATTTTTTTTTATGTGGCAAAAATACCCTAAATGTTTATTGTTTTATCACCCCTATTTTATTATTTACCGAAACAACATTTACCGGGTCAGCCAGTATAAATATATGTATTTACGCACATAATAATTTTCAATATAAATTATAAACATTTCTGAATGAATTCGTAATTTCGTTTATAAAACTAAATCTATTTACATCTATTAAAGCAGGTAATCACAGATTTATTATAAAAACCTTATAATCTTTGTTAGCTGAACGCTATAAAGAAACCTCTCATGGTACACTCATCCATTTAACGAGAAAGGTCAACAATGTTTAGAATAAAATAAGAGTAGATTTAAATGAATCAACTTTATTAAATTTATTTATATTATAAATCAAATAAATATAAATTTTCAGTCAATTATATTTGTATTTAAATGTCTCCTTCTACCTGGCAATTTTCCAGCTTTAGCCAGAATCTGCCTTACATGTTGTGAATAGTTTTGGCTAATTATTTTTACGACCGGCTGCCTGCCTGACATTAAATCTCTTTGGGAATTATTCAGTAATGTCTAAATACTCTTAGAAAGTACATGTGACTCGGAAATATCACATTGGTACTTGCCAGGATCGAACCTGCGCCCTCGTGCATGAGAGGCGGGCCTTTTAACCACTAGGACACCACTGACTTAAATGTAACAATAATAATTGTTCATATCAAACGTTTAACAAAACTTAAATTTTAACGTGTCAATTTAAAAAGAATTTATTAATACATGCGGGTTTTAAATGAAAATATATATGTAATAGATTGAATAGATTATTATAGATTGGGAAGATTGTATTGTTATCAATTTTAGTATATATTCAATATTGTATTGAATATATGTTATTTAAGTATAAATTTTATGTTTTGTGCATGTCAAACTGTTTTTATGTAGTTATCTCATTTAAAAGAACGTGTACAATGCAAAAATCGTTACAAAGAACGATAATTTCCGTATTCTTTGTTTATATAATTTAAATATCAATTCAATACACATTTTTACTTATTCGTGAATTATCAAATACATATACTGTCAATATGATAATCAAATTAAACTAGTAGGTATAATTATATAGTATGAAGTACATCTTATTGTACTAGTACTGAAGTTTTTTCGTGTTACTAAAGTTAAGCATTAATAGTTATGTTATGAAAGCCAGGTTTGTTTAACAGAACGACATATGCATCTGATGGCATTGACGAGTTCTCCATTCTCCATATCTTCCGTCTAGTCTGGGGGATAAATAATTTAAAAGACAATTTAGCTTCGTCACTCCCCGGGATAGACAGACAGAGATATCAACAGACATATATATCAATATCATTATATGTAGGAATGGCTTCATACAGATACAAAAAATATTAAAATTAACTCGATTTCTTGATATTGTAGTTAAACAATATAATTTTGAATATAAAATTTATTAAGGTTCTCGTTGTTTTTAATATTAAAAAATTTTGTTAACAGTTCTGAGCTTAGTCTACTGTAAATAAATTAAACCAAAGTATGCTGGCAGGAAATCAACCAATAATAATTAGAACTATTTAAAGAAATCTTCGATGTTTAGTCTTAATTAGAAATCTAAAATTAACTATACTTTTTGGTTATAAACTCCTTTGTGTTTTCGCGCCTTTTCAGTTAAAATTTATAGAAAGTAGGTAATAAACTTATGTTTATTACCTACTTTGAATGTCAACTTAGATGATCACTTGAACATGAGTGTTTACAATTGCTGATAATTCACTTTTAACTTTTATAGATAAGACGAAGAATAATTGATATCTTTTTCATCTATTAATACATACTATTAATAACAAAAAAAGGAACAAGGAACAGAAATTATAATAGCATCTAGATTAATTATTGTTTATGTTTACCAATAGTTTCAATAGTACTACTAACATACTTTTCCCGAATATTATGAATGGAAAATTAAATACTCTGTACCGATGACACAAATAATGAATGTCTTAACTCTATTAATGTACGACTACGAGTAAGCTTCTTACAAAGTCGCATTTAACTTTATTATTTATGTTGACAATTAAGAGACATATTGGTTTAGAATCATCGGACTTTTCTTTTTTAAACTTTGGTTTTATAACATTATTTAGCCCGCACTACGCTTCTAACAATAGAAAACTTAAATATAAACATATAAATAACGTATAGAATTAAGTATAATATACATATAAATTACTAACATAATTAAGTGAACTACTTTAATTAGTAACTGAAAAAAATAAAAGCATAATTGTACTAACCTCGTTGGTATAAATGTCAAAACTCTCAAACATTGACTCAAACATTTTACAGCAGATAAATTATTTAAAAATAAAACGAAATAACTTAATTTTAACTCCTTATTATATATGTAATTTATGTTTAATATTAAATTGTATACATAATAAGAGCAAAGTGCTTTAGAATATAATAAATGAAACGTTTCACTCACATGTATTGGCATTGCGTCCGCGCAAGTCAACGAACGATGATTCATTCAAAATTCGACACACCTCGCAGCTGGTGCAGGCTATTTTGGTCTTTGATGCCTTCGCCACAAGGGCGTATATGGTATATTTATTTTTTGGATATATTTTCACAAAGCTCCCTATAGGATTACAATCTCAGTTTCAATGAAATGTAAGGTTTCAGTTAAAATTATGAGACGTTATACAAACATTTTATAATAATATTTTCGCGAGATTTATGTAATCTTTTACAAGATTTTTTTTTTTTTTAATCTTTTTAATACTATCAAACAGCCAGTCTTTAGGATTAAATTTAAAAAATAAACATTTCAACTTTTTTTTTAAATTTACACAAAATTAGTTCACCCTATTTTGTACAGAAATTCCACAGATAATCATAATCAACGAATATTTCCAAATTCGTTAAGGACACAATAATATTTAATAAAAACCGTGTAATCACAAAAATTTGTACATCAATTCAACATGAGTTTTTAAAAAAACATTTAAGTTAAACACATTAAAATCCCATTAGGAGACGACAAAGGACAAAATCTCAAAACATTGACGAGTTTCCATAGACATGAGAATAAATAGTAATGACTAGTCAGTCTATTTTAAATATTCGATGTCAGTTATACAAATGGTTACCAGAAAACCACGTTTGAATACAAATAAAGCACACTCAGACCCGCTTTAAATGGCTGGCTTTGTTGAATCCAGCGCCGCTTTTGAGATTATTTTCTGGTCGATTGAATAATTAGCAGAAGTTTACAACGCTCGAAATATTAATGAAGCAAAAAATTATTTCAATATAAAACAGTTTTAAACTCTACTCGTATTTATTTTGTGGATTTATTTGATCTTTGATAGTTGCGACCTGCAGTTTCGTCTAATTATTATTATTAAAGACAGTTTGTTTTTGCTTTTTAGCATAATAAATAATAATCTTATCAATAAAATACATACATATAGAAATACTCTCAAATTTCCGTTTATATTACTTATTTTATTAATCACAACCAAAAATAATATGAAACGAGTTATATTTAGGATTTCAATTCATATGATTGTATTACTTTTTACATATTGATATTTTTAGCGAATGTTAGCGGATTCAAACAAAAAGCAATGTTCTAATTAATCGTGTTTCAATAAAAACCATACAATTGATAATAATAATATCAAATTCTAGTATTATATATTTATACAAAACGTATTTAATCGCATAACTTGTGTGTGAGTCACGCGGGAAAGCTTTTTACTAGGGACGCGCGTTCCTTCACGCCTGGAGTTCGTTGAAGCATAATGACTATAAAATGTTATGATATTATATGTTTTGCAAAGAAATTATTGGAAATTTCATACACATATTTATTATTTTAACAAAACATATACAAGAAGAACGTAGGAATAAAATATTATGTAGAACTAAAGCAACCCATATACATATGTACATTTATGGTTCATACTATTTTTAACCAATTTTGGTGAATAGGACCTTAGTAGTTGGGTTGTTTTAATTCGATATAATACTTTGTTTCTAGATTATTTTTCTATTTATGTTTTATAAAAATATTTCGGACGTATAAAACTTAAAAATTTCTTCAACAATTAAGTCAAACTTTACCTTCATACAAAATTTACATGATGCAGTTCAATATTCAGTCATGACGTATTCTTGAAATTAATATCAATTAATGAGATCTAACATTTTGTCTAGTATTCATTACAACGAAACGAATATTTCGAGTATACTACCGACGCGACGTTTCGGTTACTTAAAAGTATATAGTTTTTTACAACGAAGCACGCGTAGTATATTAAAAAAATAGGTATTAGTTTCGTTTAATATCTATTGATTCTGAATAAACGCAAAATTCATTTATGCATATTACTTTAAAGTAATACAAAGCAACAAAATAACTGTGTTTTAACAAAAACGTATCAAATTTTATATCTTACAAAAATATATTATACATAAAAGTCAATAAACGTTATATCTTATCACTGTGTCTAATTTGTTAGCGCGCACCCGAATTCTAATCTGCGCTAAAATTTGCTGAAACATTATCTATTTACAAATAGGTTAATACTGTCTCAGATATTATACAAATTGGTCGGCGAATTCGTTGGGTTTAATATAACAAAAACCAAGAAATAATCTACTTACATTAAAATAATAAGTGCAGTGCTCAAATGACAGTGAATAATGGGACTTTATATGGGCATGAAGAGTCCAGATTAACGCTTCCTAATAGTTTGGGGGTTGGATATATAAAGAAAGGTATAATGCCGTCAGCTTTGGATATGGAGCCGTTCAGTCAGCCTGAATGGAGTGATTCCAGTGATTCCTCTGGACCTGCACCTTTACCGCAATTGGGTTACTTCGTCCCATTCAGATGTAGATGTGATGGTAGATCGACGAAACATTTGTGTAGGAGAAGCAAAAGGTACATTCAATTGGCAGGGTCCTGATAACAACACCTTCTACTAATTTCTGGATGAAGCTAGTCACAATTGATTTTTGTAATATGTTGACAGATTAAATTTAAGAGAATCTTTAGTCGTATTGATTTTTTGTCGAAATTTCGATCAATTGACATGGCAATATAAACTCTAAAGAAATAAGAAATCATTGAACAATTAGATGTGATTAAAGCGACTTTGTATCAATACATACTTTTTTCTTCATTAGTATTTGAATTTAAATGCATAGATATATTATAAATGTTTTAAATATCAGTTCAAATGATATAATAAAGAACTCTCTGATACAACTTGTTGACAATTAACTTAAACAAACGTTAAATAGAATACGCTTTCAAAAGCTAAGGCCCAATTTCACTACACTGTTTGTTAAATCTAAACCAGGCATTTACCTGAACCATTAACATTGTTTAGTAAAACTGGCTCTAAAAATTTCATACGTGATTTGTTTGAAGCTAGATCGACTTTAATTTAGCGTGTTTTGCTAACATTTCTCATCATTAAGTCTATTTGTTTCAGAGAATCTCCCCGTAGCCGTCGTTCTGTGTCACAATGTTCGTGCAGTTCACGAAGATCGTCCCTCGCCTCACCAGCGCTACCACCTCTCAACAATACCGTGGAAATGTACGTGGAGCCTGTCGTCGAAGATGTGAGTACAAATATTCTTTGATATAAATCTTCTTCTACCTGTCAACTTCCCAGCTATAGCCAGGGTCTGCCTTACATGTAGTGTATAGTTTTGGCTATTTGTTTTTACGACCGGCCGCCTGCCTGACATCAGCCCTCTTTTGGGAATCAACATTAATCAGTGAAGTAGCTTTTATATAAGGAAGAAATTATGATGTAGGGATAAATGAAACAATAAGTCAATTTGGTCTTATTTTAGATAAGTTTCGGTTTATTTGGTTTAGGAGTTATGAATTTTATAACAGGGAGATCTTTTCGGACATGCTATTTGTTTATTCTGAAAATAATATGATTTCTATTAAATATGTTAAAGAAATTATTCTTCATATTGGTTCTCGTTTAAGAAACTTACGAAAGTTTCTCAGTATTAAACATCAAATTGTTGTTGCCTGTACTTGTCGAGGACCTTCTTCATCGACTTGGCGATCTGTTCCGGTCTGCTGTAAAAATACTTGTGTTGACTACTCCCGTCTTCATTGAATATCTCGTGGTCTACTCGCCCAGCCGGGGAAATGAAGAGGATCCTATAATAAAATTGTTAGAAAAGTTTTGAAGTATGAAAAATTGCATAGACGTGTTCTAAATAGTATTAAGATGAAATTTTTGGTTAGTGGAAATTAGGCGACAACGATCTTGATATAAAAAGGAACAGAAATAATGTACATTAAAATGGCAACCCAAGATATTAATCTAAACAAAATTCTTAAACGTAAATTACATAATGATATTGTTATAACAATTATGTTCATTACCTCGGTATGTAACTGCCGTCTGGAGAGAATTTGTTGTTTTTAGGTTCTTCCTCATCTATCAGATTAACCATTACGAAGTGTTTGCTGAGTGATTTAATTTCATTGGAATTAGCGAACTTCGGCTTTAGATTTTTACACGCGGAGCACCAAGACTTGTGTATTATAACCATAACGGGTTTCTTATGATGCGTTGCTATTTGAACTCCTGACTCCAAAGAGCCAGCCCACACGTATTCACTGCCGAAACCATTATCTTTCCCGATAGCAGCACACTGGACTTGATTGAAGAAGAAGCCACATAAAGCTCTAGCGATAGTCCCGGCGACCATCTCAGATGGAATATATTGTTGATAGATATTTTTGGGTTCTTATTATTTCGTTCACTTTTAATTTAAACATCTTGGTATATGGTAATCTTTCATTTTCAACAAACAGTGAAAATGAAAAGCTATGATATGAGTAAAAATAAAAATAAAAAATATAATTGTCAAAACTACAACAATTTTGAATTTGACATAACATTACGTTGTTATTCTAATATTTGTTACGTTTACGTAGCGCCATCTATGTGATACTTTAAAAACATTTAAAGCGCGATGGCAGTTAAGGCTTGGGTGTGTAATACAAATTAGTATACGTAGATGGCGCTGAAAAGTAATAATAAGTAAGGCTTTAAGCTATTTTGGTTAATATAGTATAATATAGGATGTATGTATATTTCTGGTTCCCTTTATAAATCATTAACAACTCAATCATTTCTATATAAGAATTTTTATTTTTCACGTTTAGTGTTTAATTGGACAACTATTCACAACAACAAACTAAGCTACGGTCAGATGTGTAAAAGACAATGGAATTTTATTATAAAAATATTCGGATCGAATTAAATGGAAAAGCTTCCTAATTTGTATAAAATGCATCGTTGACAAACTTTTCAAACGTATTCATGTGTATCCGTGCGTGTCAGCTGCCAATGCGTGTACATATTGTGTTTCTCTCTGTTGAGATACGTCTCGCTCGATGTAACCTATTGGAAAAAGCAGATAAACTATGATAATTACATGTAATGTGTACATACAATCTGCATCCACTACAAACGCATTTCAAACGGTGACCAACGTACGCTCGGACGTTTTAAATATTAACGGCTACGGGGTTGTCTAAATTAAAATATTTACATGAATATTTTCATTTTAGATACCTTGAAATTATAAATAATACAGCTTAGTGGCTTATTTTTTATTGAATAAAAAATAAGTTCTACTCACAGCATTTGCCGCGTGTGTCGTTGGGCGTTAAATTGACGTTAATGCATTTCTTGTTCGCATAACGCAAAAACTGAAACTGATAGTAATAGTGTTGCTAAGAACTTAGTGTAGTGATGATGAATTTGTACGGAAGCCGTAGGAATCGCAATATTTATGGGACGGTGCGCTCCGTGGTACCACGATCGACTCCCATCGCTGGGATAGAAGACATAATGTACACCACGCCTTATTTCTTCCACATACCACCACAGCATCAAACACTTAACACCTTCCCTGGAAGGAAGAGGCGTAAGAGAGTAAGATTATTTATCTAACTTATTAATATTTTACTAATAAGTTTTTACCATCTAAATTCATGTATACAGGGTGACTGGTGAATTACTATCGATATTTGAGGACGTGATATTTGACGATCATATATGACAAAATAAAAATTAATATAACATAAATATTAATAAACTTCTAAGTAAAGTTAACCAAAAGTTGTGTAATTAATTACACATCGTATGAACACCCTACAGATTAGGTATACACACACACTCACACAGACGCGGCGGCGGCGTAGTGTTGTATCAGCACGCCGCCGCACGCATCCACACTTGGAACACTTGGAACGTGTACACACTTTATTTATTTATACGGAAATTTGGTCAAAAATTAAGTACCTATTTTTTTACATAATTGGAATGAGAATCATGTATCGAGTATGCTCCTTAAATATTGATAGTAATTCACCAGTCACCCTGTATACCCTAAGATTGCAGAGAAAATTTCCTCATATTCACTGTATTGGAAATGCTATTTACCAGTGTCGATGCGTTTCACTCGATATCTCTCGATTAAAAACGACATCAGATTGTAAGACACGTAGAAAGACGTGGAAAAAACTATCGCGTCCACCACCATCCTGCGGCCGCTCATCTTGAATAACAATCAATGTTTTATTTATTTACAAAACACACATTTCTTTTTGGACTTTATAGGCTATATTGATCTGTCAACGAAGAAATGTCATTAGGATAATGAGTTCTGTTAGAATTTTTGTTTATGGAATTATTTACGCCCACTTTTTGTAAAACGCCCATTGTTGTTGTGTAGAATTATTAATCATTGCCGTGTGATCTAGTTTTTAATATTCATATTGATGTTCTATGTATCATGTACTCGCAACAACAAAGCTTCATTCATACCAATTGGGTTACGGTACTCATATGTACGTTTGAATGTATGTACTTGAACAAAAATATTGAAGCAGTTGCCCACACAGACTGATAATAAGATTATGGACCTGGTTTAAGTTGAAACATAATTCGAATGTTGGGTTAGAGAAGTATAGTTCTTAATAAAATGGTAGAGAAGATAATCTAAATTCGACTTAAACCTCTATGAAATTAAGCAAAACAAATGTGTTTTTTAAAAGTTGTATAAAACAAAGTTGCTAAATCTTACAGAGAGTTTCTTATATCTTATTTTAAACGATACAACTTCTTCAATTTAAAACCTTTACAGCTTAATCAAGCTATATTTTTCGTTTATTGCGTTATTACAAGATATACTTATTGTATAATTGAAAAATATATAATTTACAGAGAATATTTTTGTACTTTGTCTACATAACTATTAGGTATAAAATAAACGTATTTCATAAACTATAGGTACCTTTATGAATTTCTGTCGTGGTGTTTGTTATACCATCAGAGAAGTTATATTGTGAATTTTTCAAGAATATTTCTTTTTCATTTGTAAACTGGATGAATTTAAAATTATGGTAAAGCTCCCACCTTAAGATTTTGGAAATAGTGAATGAATGTGCCTGATATATAGAATTTATACTATGCCCACTATGTGTTTGCAGTTAAAAGCTGAAAATTTCTATCTTTTTTCAGATTTAAAGCACAGAATGTGTATATTAATCCACCAGAACAACAAATATAAATATTTTATTTACATCTTAATTGTTTAATATTTGTATGAATTTATAATGAGATCTCAAACTTATTATTTTTATACTAAAGTATCTTTGTAAGGACAACTTTTCGGTATTTAAAATAATTGTCGTTAGCTCATTGCAAAGGATTTCGTAAGCAGTTTACGAACATTTTAATTATGGTTTTCAACTACGCTTAAGTGGACCTTAACAGCAAGTAGAAGCAATTACATTCAGGGCGAAAAGGTTAATACTAAAAACAAATTACAATACATAAAACAATTAATAGAAAATAGATGTATTAAAGAAATTAATCAAGGGAAAAGTTTAATTTTTAACGTCTTCAATATCTATCCTGAACTCCATAAGTTGAAATATGTTTCTTCCTTTCATAATTCCTCTCTTCTTTATCTGTTTTCGCTTGTTTCGTTGGTCTGTCTGGAGTCAGGTTGGAAAAGTTTATAAGCCCATAAGAATAAGCAATTACCGACGCCATAGATACAACCATCGCGATCAATCTAAACTGCTCAACTCTCTCCATAATATATAGAAATTAATTTACAACCTCCAAATGTTCAAATAATAGTTATTTTAATATCCATTCACGATGTTTCTCATAAATAGTTCACTTCACACTTTTCATTTTAACAATCATTTCTTGTCACGCCCGTGTGACTTGGACAGATAATTAAATTCATATGCCTATATTATTAATATTAGTAATCTGTTTTTATTTTTGTGATATATAATAATTGTAAGCCGCCACAGTAACTACCGCTACTATTAAAACTTTAAAAATTTGTTCCATCATATAAAATTTTAATCAAAGCCAAATACGAAATCATGTTATTTGGCTAAGACATTAATCTAGTTGGTCTAGACTTTAGACTATAGCCTTTTTTTTATTGTGGGTAACATTTTATGGATATAATATTTAGTATGCTATTTGTATACATATATTAGTACTATTTAGAAATAAGCACATACTAAAATCTTATTTTAGTTAGCGCATCTCTTAGTAAAATCGAAAAATTTAAAATATCCAACGTATTTCTATATTAGCAAAATTTGAAATTGAATCTTCATCGTTTATGATTTCATTACGGAATATACACGCGTCCATACAAACTTATGTTTTAAATATACTTCTTTACTAGACCTATATATAGGAAAATTTTGCCTAACAAATTTTTGTCACGAAAAATTAAATCAATAAAGTATATTTATTTTTATTAATTTTATTGTCATCTTCAGTACAATTACGGTTCTTTTTTGGGACAAGGTTTCATTTCTGGTTCGGGTTCCGGCTGACACGGGTCAATGCCCTTCTTCCTGACACATTTCTTCTTAGCTTTAGCCACCGGTGCTGGCGTCTTAGGTTTCTCCTCTACTGGTTTCTCTTCTTCCTTTGTTTTACATTCATATGGCTTGATGACGTCTATAATTCTCTCTGGACATAGAATACCCATTGTGTATAGTAAGCTAAGACCCGAGCCGAGTCCTATTGCGAATAACTGTAAGGCACTCTTCCTATTTCTTTCTTCCCAAGCGATAGCTGATATTCGTTCTTTTATGTAGTGATGGAAGTCTTTCAAGGAGGTCCTACCCCAGAGATGGGATGGCTTTATACCGCTGTATCTTCGGAGCATTTTTGGGCTTAATTTTGCGAGTTAACTAGATTACTGGAGTCAAAATTATATGATTTTCTAAGTGTGGGATGGTGGACATTTTGATTTGGCTGCGCTGTTTCATTTTTGTTGATCCTGGAAAAATAGATATATAATTCACGTTTTTTGTCATGTCTAATAATAATATTGCAATATGGTCATCAAATTTACCATTTTTTTTTGGTGTTATGGCCGTCTTGTTCTGAAAGATTTTTCGGTAACTTCAGCCAGAAAAGAGAATATAGCTGATGCTGTGATTATGAAGATGAGTTCTTGACGGTTCATGACAGTTAAATTTTGATGACAATAAAGACATATTTTTCTTAATTATTTTATGTCTGCAGAGTTTGATTTTTAATATATAGAAAACCATATAAAATATTAAAAAAAAATTAATATGGTTATATAAATTCATTATTATAAATATATTTTTCAATCTTTATTCATATTATTACATCTCTTCGTAAAACAACTATTTATAGAACAATTACTACACACACATATAATATATATATTTATTTTTTTCCCATTAGTTCCTTATGTTCCCAATTTAATTTTTAGTCCACTAGAAGTGTTTAACGAAAAACTCTTAAGTCCTTTAAATAAAACCTCACTACAGTAATACCTAATTGATATTTATTAATTTTTAAAATATCTCAGTGACGTTGTCAAAGTCGTAAATACTGTCATTGAGTGACATTTACATAAATTGAAAAAACAAAATTGCCAAAATATTCCACGATTCCAATATAAATGAAGCCATAGCATAAATATTAAGAGTCGATAGGATTAAAGCAATAAAATTTGAGAACTTTTTCGTCAAATCTTATTTTCTTGTTACGTTCTGAAACCAGTTTAATTTAAACAAGATCATTCTATTCTGGAAACGATTTACGTATGAAAGTCATGTATTTGCTAGCTAATCCGCCAAACTTTCACTTCCATTTTCTATATATACAGGTTTTAAAGGATATCGCATAAGGAATCAGTTTTTAAACATTTTATATAGGTAAGTTTTTACTAACAAAATTTATCCTAATCCACAGATGGTCTATTCGCTGTATTTTTTACTAGTAGGAACATCGGAAATTCTTTGATGACAATATCTGACAACATATTTAAAACTTTAAATGTATAATAATAAAGTATATTTTAAGATAACGAAGTTTTTATAAGACATTGGTCCCCTTAAGGACCAGAGCGGCCTTCGCCAGAGATGCATTGAACCGGTTCGATTTATCGATTGGGTCAATCGTACCTATAAGATATGAAGATATTCGTTCTTAAATCAGATATGAGTCATTTGAAAAAATAAATTATAAAATAGTAATATTTTATATGAGTATAAAGTATGTGGAGTCGTTTGACAGTAAAAAGTTGCCGGTCTAGCAACGAGTGAGCCGAGGTCCGAGCTATTATGTTTTTAAACTACAACTTAACTTTCAAGCTGAGACTCGCCGGGTCTGTAGTGGGAACAAAACCTGTAGATACTTCGCCTACTTCGGTGCGGTGTACCTGCTCTAGTGTCGTCCCTTTCACTCTCACGGTTACGACCGTAACACGATATCTTCCGTTTCACTTCACAACTCTGGTATGCAAAGATTGATAGCGTATGTGACCATTTGGTTTTGAAAGTCCCAAGAAATCACGCACGGTTAAGTTTTCGCCTGGCGTCCTTACTTAGGATCGGACGGACGTACTTTTATACAGAAACTTTTATTATAACAATGTGTTTTTGTGAATTAATATAATCTGTGCCATAATTGTTTGACGTTTTCGTTGTTTTTGTTTGAATAAGTGTTGTGTTTTATCGGTTTTGGTATGAAATGTGTTGTGATTGTTTTGTAATATATATACGATGGATCCGATGACTGACAACGGTTTGGTTGTAAACAATTTGAATCATGGACGCAGTGAGTCTCAGGTAAGAACTATCGATGAGGCGAAACACGTTTCGCCGTTGCATACCTGACTATGAATAAGTGCAATGACTCCCCAATTATTCAACTCTAATCCAGATTACGTCCCTAGCTATTTAAAACTTAGTGTCGAACATCTAAAACTTGTGAAAATAACTGAAATATTCATTTATATCTACTTTAAACAAAAGTAACGCACTTAAAACTAAGTTTACAAATAATATATCTAATAATTCCCACGTTGACTGTGAGTAACAAGATCTTAGTTATAAACTTCAAGTGTCATTCATAATTAACCAGATCATGTTTGACATATATTATTATTTATTTTTTTAACCACACACAATACGTAAAAGTCTACTATTCCTTAGCTTGGCTTCTTCGTATCAAATGAGTCATATCAATAGGAGATGTATTGTGTACTTCGATTGATGACTTATCTGAATATTATCCATTGTGGAGGATTATTATCTGTATTAAGCTATCTTTCCTGGCAAAGAGTAATAATTATAAATAAATCATTTATACCCATACTTATATATCATAATTTATATACCATGACCAATAAATACTACGTAAAAGTAGATTACGGTCAATTCATGATAATTTTATAGCTGTTTTATGTCATTAAAAAGTTCTAGTATACTTAAGACCTAATTACGAGCCTCGAGGCGACTTTATTGCGATAGATGTGAGACAACATCTAGAATACTATCTAGTTCTGAAAGTATTTAATGTGTAATGCAGGATGTTACATTGTTGAGTTTAATACATTTAAAATTGAACCTTACTGCATAGAAAACAAGATCTAATCCGTATAAAGATTTTGGTTTCATCTATCCAAAAAGTATTTACTGTATGATACTGGTTGGAAATTAGTTTATTTGTATATAGTCAATGATTTGTCGATATCAAAGTATTTCTTGTCATCTAAAGTATTCGTGACAAATCTCTAAGTCTTCGATACTTATCCAAAAATTAAATAATATTGCATAAGCTATTAGTCACTATAAAATTTTATAACTAAAAAACTATTGTCACTGGTACTTCTTACAATTGCTTAACAATCATTTCACTTAATCACAAGCTAATTCGAATAAAGAATATTATACTTTGTATTTATTTAAAGTAATTTTACGTTAAGCATTATCTCATTTAACAAAAGTCAGTACTCTTCAATATCTGTTAGGGATGATGAAAATATAAATTGTTATTTAGCAAACGTAAAACTCCTTTCAAAATTTATGAACACCTGCCCGTATAATAACAATTTAAGTGACAATGGAGTGCCGTAAAATAGAATTGGTGATCGAACTTCGAAGGGCCGCCATATTTTTTGCATCTCGGCACATGTCAGATGACGTCACCGAACCTGTTCCGCGCCAATTCGCAGCTGTCGTCGGCGAGGCGGCCGGCAATTACTTTGTTTTTATTTTGATTCTTCCTAAACTACACACCGTTACATTATTGTATTTGATATTGGGTTTTATGATTTTTGCATGCGATATTTTCGATATAGCTATATTATGACATCAATATATGCATATATTGTTTTTTTATGTGAGAGTAGGCTCCATAAAGTTTGAATTTTCATTATGTTGTCACAAGGGTTGGCGGTATTCTCTGTACATATAAGAAGAGGCAGTCATGATTTTATTAATTATGACCTTTACGTCAAGTAGCTTATAGTTATTTTTTACAAAGTCGAACATTTTTAGATTTTACTTATAAATCAGTCTTTATAGCATTAACTCGAAAAGGGTGAGATTTCCACATTGAGAATATAAAATCTGTTAACATAAAGGAAAATAAAATACAAATAGTTCTTCGTTCACGATTAATGTTTGAGAAATGTTCAGTGTATATTAATGCTAACTTGCTAACTATTACATAGTTATAGATATCCCATATTCCGAAATTACTTTTGTATCAACCATATTAAAAATACATTCCTTTAGTACGGTATACCGATCATATTTGTAAGTCTGAAGAACATACTCAGTAAACATCTGTTCATATATTGTCAAATACTTAGTTAGCCAGACGTTTCTAAAATAGATTTTATAAATTGCTATATAGGTCAACGTGAGTTACCAACACTTCCTGATTAATATAGGAATAAATGCATTTAGTCACTTGCACTCTTAAATATACATATGTAGGTATATATGTGAGATTAGTAAAAGAAGAAGTTTCTATAAATCAAAATTTAACGAGTCTAAATAAGAATGATTCTATTCATATCAAACTCGTTAAAAACACATTAATATCACTACAGATTATAAAACTAAGAATATAATGACAAATATAGATTAACAAAATATAAAAAATATTCGAATTAAAAACATTTTTTTTCTTTTATAATTTTTAAGAGATAATTAATTCAAATGCAAACAAATTATTTAACTTGTAGCGAGTCAACTAATTACTAAAGTAACGTTACTCTAGCATGTAACATGACAGTTACGAAACAGTTACAGTGTTTTTAATTCGTTAAATAAAAAACGTATAGAGTTACTTTGATATATATGTATTGTAGCGAAACCAAAAAGGATTTATGTTTTAAATGGTTGGCTGTATAGGTTTGGTCGAATTGTATTTTTTTTACAAAATACATTTTTGTTCTGAAATTAAAAAATAAAAAACAAAATCACAACCACAAAAACTTATTCCGATACATAGTTTGTGCAATATGTAAATACAACTTGTTTCTGAGGTCTAAAAATTGAGAATTGTGTTATATTTCTAGGGTTTTACATTTGAAATGTGCTAAATGTCTTGCATTCCTAGTGCAGTTTTATTGTATTTACTCAAACTTATAATCTATACGAATTTTATCGGATATTTAATAAAAACGGCCTTTGTGATATTCCCAATCTTTTTATTCGATTTTTTCACAGTGAATTTTAAAATTTTAGTTAATATATTAGCTACATTAGGTGGCAATAGCCATAAAACGCGACAAAAACTTACAATTTATTGCTTTAAAAAAACCTGTTTAACTTTGCTTGTACGTTGAACGTGTAAATTCTTAGTTATTTGGTTTATCAAAACAATATTTTTAATTTTCGAAACTTATTGAAGATATATTGTTAATTTATAATCAACATTCCTACTATACAAAAAAGCAGCATACATAGGAATCAAAATAAATTATTTCTTTCAATATAAAGAGGGCATCATTGTTAAAAATTTAAAAGAACGAGTTTAATTATAATAATTTTTATAAAAATAAATGATAAAGAAGAAAAAATATTCTTTATACGTATACGGAAATGATGAAAGTTTCTATCATATAAATCAAGTCAACACCTGAACGACCGGCGTAACGTGTTCGTTATATCCAGTTTTAGATGAAAATCTAATTATTTAACATTTCTCTTTGATTTTAATAATGCAATAATTCTCTTCTCAATAAAACATCCAACATCTATAATATGGACTCGGTTCTGAGTAAAAAGCGTCGTTTTCACCGGAAAGATGCTTCGTTAATGACAACACCGTGTTTGTTCAATGACAACTCTTGCTTATATTTATGGTCTGTGTATTAAAAAAAAGTAATTTTTTTAATCTATGGACGGGATTTTTTTTTTTATGATTTTAAAGTTGCTAATGATGAATTCTAGTTATAGGTTAAAAAATGTATAATAAAATTCGGTTTACTTAAAAATTTTTGTGAACATTACAAGTATCAAGTAGAGATTATTTCTGTATATTAAAAATCTACGTCTAATATTTTGACTTTCCACACATAAATAAATTCTATAGAGCATTTTATTCACATGGAATCTTGAAATGCTAGAAACTATTATATGGAACTCTTTAAAGGTTAAATGTTTAAACCATAAACTTTTCTAAATCACGGGCACACGAGATAAAATGTCTGTCAGTTGGTCTTGTCTATCACCTAACCGCTATCGATTTCTTAATTTCCTGACTTACCGCTGTGGTTGCCGGTAGAATGTGCTTACGGTTGCCTGAGGTCTTCATATTTTTAAGAAAAGGGGTCCCATATATTTGAATAGATTCGTCATTTTTTTTATTGTAATTGGAGTTTTTTAATTTCAATAGCTTCGCGGATTAATCTCGATTCTCGGTATATACCTGTCTTCACGAGCGAGGATATGTGGTTTATCAAACCGAATATAGTGGCCTGGTTTGTCCTTCTGTGACTTCGACGCGCGCCTATTTTTGATGTGTTTTTTAACCCTTGTACCAATGCTTCTCTTTGTCCAGGTGGTCATTATCAAAAAGGTGTTGGGTTCTTTGTAACATAGATTTGCAAACGGTAGCCAACTGGATAGGATGGTGGTGTGAGTTACCATTGAGATATTTATCCGTATGTATGGGTTCCTATAAACATTATGTCCCATAGTATTGTCAGGATGCTGAAGTATATCAAGGAAAGCTAAAGAATTATTTGCCTCTAATTCTATAGTAAACTGAATCTTCTATTGATAGAATTAAGATAGTTCGGAAAAGCCGATGTTTTATTTTTATTTTATATCGTGAAGGTGTCATCTACATACCGTTTATATATTATATCGATTATGTAGTTTTAAAATAATAAAAAATGCATAGTATATAAGAAAATCTTACTTTTATTTAAATGAATTCTCGCGAAAGTCTTGAATCTTGATATTATTACCTAAACTTACAGTTTTATCTCATTAAAGAAAGCTAAAATAAAGTTTTATTTCAGTCTCCAAATAAACTGATAACAAAATATCTATGGAAACATCAATTTTTTAATTGTTAAGATAAGTTCTTAATTTACTCAAAGTTCTTTGTTACATAAAAATTCCTTTAATAAGTTTCCTGGTAATTTTACTAGCCAGAACCTAAACCTAACCCTTATTTGTCCATATTTTATCTTTATACCGCCTCCTAACTTACGCAGGTAAGAATAGCCTTTGTTATCTACATTGCTTTATTATCGGACATCTAGAAATAGTAATAAAAACTGGCATCTATAATTTTAAGTCTAAAAATAAAACAGTAACAACAAAAAAAACAGCAAATTAAATCCATTTTTAAACGTCAATTTGACAGACCACTAACGGCGGGAAAGCTAAACTAAACATGTTCAGAAACTTAACATAATGTTGCATCTAAAATTATATACGCTTTTACTTTCCTGTGGACCGGTTCAGTAACTGGTTGCAAATATATTGAACATATATACATACTAACATAGTATAAAACATATCTGACATCATATTATATCTCAAAACATATTACATAAATCACGATACATATCTTGTTCACGTTATCTGAACAAAATTAATATTAATTTGTTGGTGAAGGCCGCCTTTCTCCGTGTAAATGTTTTCACTGCTTCTTTAGTATTTTGATTGAGTTATGAATCAAAGAAAATAAGCACTTGATTCACTATATTACATATATACTTATACATATATATATTTAATTTCTACCTTTTACCTATTCCATGCTCCATAACTTGTTACTTAAAATACTCTATTTTTGGTTCTCATTCTATCGAAAATCCTGTATACAGGCCCAAAAAAGGAATAAACTTAATCAAACAAACAATTGTTGACCAATCAATTACTTTAGCAAATAATTACTAACTCAAGGAAATTTATTTTTGATTTCGGTTATGATTTTCGCTTTCAGATTCATCTTGTTCATAACCTTTTATTGAATTTTTAGTTCAGCTAACACTAATTTTCAAACAAATTGCTTATTTAAAACTAAGTTTTTATAAAATAGAATGAAGATTTAAAAACCGATAACAATAGCTATAAAAATATTTTTCTACTATAAATAAATATAGTTAAATATTATAGTGGGCGTTTACTGACCAGATTCTGCAACATCTGGCATTTAATAATCATTATTTTGTATAATTTTTTTTTTAAATTACATTATCAAATTCGAAATTATTACGTGTACTTTATAATCTTCTTTGACATTTTCGTAAATAATGTTTATTATAATTTGTTACATATAAGTTTAACTACAAATAAAGTAATATTTATTCAAATTAGGAACTTCAATTCCAGTCTTTCGTACGACTACCTAGTACCTACTAATCTCCTTTTAGAACCGGATTATTATCATATTATGTTTTGATTATTAATTTTGTTATACTTATATTGCGTGCTTACAAATTGACTTTTATGTACCCTAACCATGTACACAAAAACGTGATGCACTATATCGTGTTTAGAAAAGATGATTCTAAATACAAGATAACATAATATTAATTTAAATAGGCATAATATAATGACGATAATGAAATATAAGAACGCGCGAAATTTGAAACCTAGTTCGCATGTTCCAACCGAATTAACCAATGGCAACTCGACTTTATTTTACTCGAGAACGTCATTGTGTAATGGAACGCTGTGATTGGTTCGTGGAAACAAATTTTAATATCTGTGGCTCTTGCTTGCGTATTCACCAATCACAGGCTGGGGACGATTCCGCCATGTTGATAAACTGACAGTTCAATAAAAACACGTGTGAATGTGAAGTGTAAAAGTAAACCCAAGCAAATGATATTAAGTTACTAATATTTTAATGAATTTAGTATGTCGATGTTAGCGGGGCCTCGTAGGAAACAAAAAATAATAAATTTAAGAGCTAAAAACAGCGCTTGGAGCAATGATACGAACAAGTTTGGCCAAAGAATGTTGGAGAAAATGGGCTGGAGTGCCGGAAAGGGGTTAGGTGCTAATGAAAACGGAATAGTTGAACATATCGTAGCCAGATATAAAAATGACGAAAAAGGTCTCGGTTATGAAGACAAAAACGATCAATGGACGAAACACGAAGACGATTTTAACTCTTTACTAGCTAACCTCTCAAATAACTGTAAGTAAAACAAGATTTTTCGTCTATTTATATACATTATAATATACAAATGAAGTTAAGATTATTATAAATCTGACTTACTAATACTATTTATACTTTTTAGCTGAAAACAACACAGAGAATTTACACAGTGGTGTATCATTAGAAGATAAGTCAAAGAAAAGTAAGGCTCGTATACACTACCACAAGTTCACCAGAGGCAAAGATCTGTCTCGGTACAGCGAGAAGGACCTGGCAAACATATTTGGGAAGAAAACCTTTAAGCAAGAAAAAGTTCAAGAACCCGTTAAAGATGATAATAATAAAGTAGAACAAAAATTTACTGAGAAAGGAAATATGGATGATTATTTTAAGAGTAAATTAGCATCACTTAAAAATAAGCCAAAGTTATTAAACAATGATAATATTGATAGGGAGGAGGTAGACTATGGTTTTCAGGGATTTTCTACTGAAACAAATAGTCAGAGTGACGAATATGATATTCCCAAAGTAGGCTTTCAACCATTCTCTTTTTATGGGACACAAACAAATAATGACAATAAACAAGACACAGATATATCTGAAGGTAATGAAGTTGTTAAGAGTAAGAAGAAAAAATCAAAACAGAAACATGATAATGTAGATACAGAAAATTGCTCCGAATCACAAGAAGTTAATTCAATGTCTGAACAAAATTCAGAAGAACAGGTATTGCCAGTGAAAAAAAAGAAATCTAAAAAGGATAAAACAAAAGAAATAGATAGCGAATGTATCCAAAGTAGCAAGATTAAAAAGAAAAAAAGGAAAAATGAACTTGAGTGTATTAATGAAGACCAGCAAAGTGATCAAAATAATACTGAATTATTAGATAATAATGTACCTAAAAAGAAAAAGAAAAGAAAAAATAAAGATGAATAACATTTATATGGTGGACATTTTATTTTTATCATTTACATTTATATTTCATTATTTACATTATTACAATATTTTATTAAACGTCAAATTTTAAATATTTTTAAGTAAATTTCATGTTTTGTTAAAAAGATTGTCGTAAATGTGAACTCTGTTTTATATTCAACACTTTCTGAACGCCAAACACGTTTGATTGTAACAAGTTTCCGAACGCGTCACATCGGCCATCTTGTGTTACTGCCAGACGGCAGTGGCACTTCGTAACATCGAAGCGGAACATTTATAAACAATTTGTTTGAATTAGTACCTAACTAAAGTGTGTGATACTTAGAAAACAGTTAGTTTTATTACGTAATATGGAGAGTTGTTAATGTTAACATACTATATTGTGTTTAAGTGAGAAGTTCTAACCTAACAATTACGAAAACACGCGGTTGTACACTGAAGTGCTCTTGATATATTTTAAATCTATTTTTGTCACTGTCAACGTCAAATTTCAATAATAAAACAAACGTGCACGTTGGAAATTCAATGAATTATAAATTAAATCACCATTTTTGTGAGGGATTTCTATGAACTTTCTGCTTCTACATATAAATAATGATTTATTATCACTGAGATTCCGGAAATGATTTTAGAAAAGGATACTATGGAATCTAAAAAATACGTCGTCGTTAAAAACCACGTTCGCGAAATAGTAGACAATGAAAATGAGGGTGTTACAGAGGAAACAACGGAGGCAGACAAACAGAAGACTTCGAAGAAGTCTAAAAAAGCAAAGAAGGAGCAAACTTCTGCCACCGAAGACGAAAACGTCAGTGATATAAAAGAAAAAGATCTAGAACAGCTTCTATCAGCTTACAACAGTTGTAAAGCCATAATATCTAAAATAGAAACGAAATACGGACACTTATTAAACTTAAACAGTAACGAAGAAGAAACGGAATATGATACTTCCAGGAAAAGAAAATATAGGTACAACCAATGTTATTGTACTCCACAGAAAAGGTACAGATACGACGAAGGTGGTTCACAATACTACAATAATAGATACTCTGGACAGTGGGGTTATAATCAATATAATAATTACGACACAAGTTACAACAGACAATCAAATTACGATTCATCATACAACTATTATAATCGTAAATCACATGTTGAAGTCGAGGATGAAAGTAGCTATGATCTGCCGAACTCATTGTGCGAGTTAGGAGATCTGTTGAAAGATCCATCAATACATAGGAGCTATAGATATAGAATTATACAGCAAATGAAGTACATGAGACGGGAATATTCAAGCCTTATGAAGTATGATAAGAGATTTATGATCGAGCAGCTGAAGTTGAATCCCGATGAATATTTTGAGTTTAAAGGTTCGAACTTATCAACACTAGAAGGATATCCTGCATAGTATAAAATTGTATAATAAGTTTTTCATTTCATTGTTAATACATTTTGTATTAGAGATTGTTTTGTTAACTTTTTTCATGGAAAAACTCTGTTATACAACATTTTGGTAAATATTATATCATTTAAAATATTCAAAGTATTGGAAGATAAATATCTCCACTGAGAATTCATGTAAATAGAACATTTTATAATTTTTACTTTGATTTGACTTCTAATCATTATATTTCAATCTATTTTTAAATAGAACCATACTTATGTATTTAATTGTTGCACTAAATTTCATTTTATTGAAATTTAGTTTATAAATTGTATAAACAAAAGATTTCCTTGAATATGTCACGTAACTTCTAATTTAAAATATTACCTTTTGTTATTTTACTTTAAGAATATCACCGATTGCCTTAAAGTAGTTTAATTACAAATTGTAAGAAATCTATATAATATTTTTTTTATATTTGAAAATGTATATAATTTACATTGGACTTAGTGCAGAAGTTGTGTTAAGATGTTGCCATTATATTGTACTCTGTTACAATATACCTTTAAAAATATCAACAGATTTTAGTTGTAGTTTTTAATGTACATCTACTTATAAGCTTTCAAATTGACAAATGCTGTATAAACATCAATAAATTTTTTTTATTGATTAATTTTAATTTTTTAATTAAGTTGCTGAAATTTTTATGATACAAGACACATGAGATGAGATGTCTTAGCATTCCTTGGATTCATAGTGCGGGTGCCGGGTCCAATGTTACAAAGAGAGGAGCTTCAACAGTGCCTGAGACTTGCGACCCAGGTGTAGGTTTAAGGGGCTCCTATCTAAAGCGTGTTAAATACTCACCTATACCAACCAAACTTCTCTCTCTACCTAACCAAATTTTAAACAAACCTACTAGGGTTGCCTTTAAAGTAAATTCAAAGAATGAATTTATGCTAGTTCTGAACAAGCCCAAGTTTCTTAGTTGGTTGTAGAAAGATTTCCCTCTCTTTTTTTCCGATTCTACAAAACGTGCCAAATTTTCATAGATACTCATTAAGGAGATTAGAATATTTTTACAAGTATATTTTTGGTCTGAAAACGAAATAGAAATGTTGAATAATTTACTTGCATTTAATGTGATCAACATTCATGTTTCATGGATTATTTGTGTTTTTAAGAATTCTACTGATAAATCAAGCAGAAGACATTTAAAGAAATTTAAATCATAAAAAAAAGTATGGCATTTATATTACAATCCTTTCTTTAGTAAAGAAAAGTATTGCTCTTATATTAGGCTATTAATTACAAGAGAATTTTAATCGTAGTATTTTATAACACACACGTATGATTTCTAAGACTTTCGCGAGTATTAATTTAAATGAAATTAATGTTTTCGTATTTACTATGCGTTTTTTGATATTTTAAACTACATACTCTCAACGTTTCGTACCATCTCGTCTGTCCGTGATCACAGTTGCTGAAAAATAACCGAAACTTTTGAGTGCGTAGTTTAAAAGAATAAAAAACGAGTAGTTAATCCGAAAACATTAGTTGTATTTACACACTTAAGATTTACGCAAATGTAAAGCAAATTCCTCTTGTTATAATTTATTAATTCAGTTCTGGTCTCGTTAAAGTTGTGGCGTCTACAATAATATTGCAATTCATTAAAATACCTAATTTATGCTTTATTGATATCGATAGAGATTGTAGCAAAAACCTATTTCAATATTCGACTTGTGGCATGGAAGACTGTGTCGCATCTTAATCTCAAATACCTATATCCATTTGTAGAATGAAATGCACCTGTCTATGATATTAAGATGAGAATAGACTGTTCGAACCAAAGGTATAGAATGCCTATTGTCTGTTAAATAGCCCAGTAGAACTTATTGCGTACGATGAACGCGAAAGCAATTTAATTAACACCTTATTGAATGGTAATAAGAGTTAAATGGTTGTATGTATAAGTGATTTTAAATATATAGCACTGGTTGAACAATGATGCCATGCGACGATGTATAATGCGTACGCGACAGCTTTGTGAAATCGCTGGAATTCATTCGTGAGCGTTCGCGGTATTGGGTGACAGGTGATACTTATATTTAAGCAAATAACGGTAAAATCGAACACAACATGACATAAACTTTGTTATGTCTATACAACACTACTATAGATTATAAATACAGGATATTCTAAGGTCGAGTGGTTGTTTCATATAATTAATTACGAATCAAAACTTTTATTTATATTCAGGCCATATAATTATTTAGTTTTATAATGAAATGAAGTCTTTTATAATTTTAGTAATAGAAACTATTATACATCACTGTCACTAATAGCATTTGTTGAAAGTTCTGTTTTCGAAAGATGAAAATGCCCTCAATACCAATGTTGCAACTGACGGAGTCACAACTGCGTTAATTTCGAGATAAACAAAACGTTTGCTTGGTATTCGGTACATTTAAACCGACCGAGTGTGAGAACCGTTTATAACGTGATAAATTAAAGAGTACTAGAACAATTTGAAGCCGTCGTCTAATATACATACTGCCTTCGAACTTGAGGAGTTAGGTATTCAGTGTAATCTCATATGGCGCGACGCCTCGTCATCGCTGGACGCCTACATAGAACCTTCGCATAAATTAGAATTAAAAATAAAATAAATCCGCTTTAATAATAATTCCCGCTCACAATTTTAAGTTTACTATAGACTGTGGTGTAAAGCGGGCGTATAGGACTTAATTAAGTTAAGTGTTATACTATACGCTTTGCTGACTTAATATTTTCGGATGTCAGTCGTGTATGTGTGAGATGTGTTTTTGTTTGTGTATATCTAAATGACAACACTTTTACCCGGGATGAAGTTGGATAACCATGGATTTGAAAAATTGCAGGTTTGCTTAAATTATTTTCAATAATATATTTTATCGTAAAAGATATGTATGTGTTATGTATTAATATTTTCTGTAACAGGATGTCACTAACCTGCTTACAAATAAGGTTTCGCAATTTCTTAGTGTAAACTATTTAGTTTTCAACATTCCTGAAAAGATTTGTATTATGTTACTACATATTGTTTCCCGCGGTTTCGACCTATTTCTGCGATTGTGCTGCAGTGTATTTTTTTGTTTTAAATAGAATAATCGTTATCCCTCTCATCGTCTTGTCGAATTCGGAGAAGGCGTTTGGATTTTTTTTATATATACTCTTTATTGCATTAAATAATTAACAAAGGTTATTTTCAAAACATAATTATTGTGTACAAGGGCGGGCTTATTTCTAAAAGAAATCTCTTCCAGCCAACCCACAGCTGTAAGAGTTAGTGTGTTTAGCAGGTAAAACATTGTGCAATATAATGCTCTTAATAATATAATATATAAAAAAAAAAAAAACAATTTCAATAAAACACATGATATAATAAATACTATAATAATATAATAAATACATACATACCCATACAACATCTAAATACATAAATATTATATATATATAAATATATATATATATATATATATATACAACAGTGAAAGAAAAAATAATAATATATATACATATATATTAGTTAATTTGACACTTTTATAACAATTGTGACAGAAAGTGCCCTTTTACTCTTTTTTTAAAGAGGCCAATGTTAGGACTCTTTTGGATGGTTTTTGGGAGATTGTTCCAGAGGTTCGCTGCACGTACAGAAAAAGAGTTATGCAGAAACTTTGTATTACTTCTGGGCACTTCTAACTCTGAAGTAATACAGGAACGTCTGGAACGTGTTGGAGGCGGGAGAAGGTTGAAACGGGAGCGAAGGTAAGAAGGAGAATTTGGATCATTAAGGATATTAAAAAGGACCGAAAGGATGTGCATATCACGGCGAAGGCGGATAGGGAGCCATTTAAGTTGAGTACGAAAAGCAGATATATGGTCATATTTACGTAGGCCGTAAATAAACCGAATAGCCAGGTTTTGAAGACGCTCTAATTTATTAAGTAGCTCCTCAGTCACATCCAAATAGCACACATCAGCGTAGTCGAGGATCGGTAGAAGAAGAGATTGCGCTAGCATAATTTTTGTGCTGAAAGGGAGAAAGTATTGGAGACGTTTGAGAGAGTGGCAAGTGTAGTGTATCCGCTTGCTAACATCATTGACTTGGGCTATCCAGGACATATTACAGTCAATAATAAGACCCAAATTCCTTACTGAATCGCAGTAAGAAATTGGAACCCCGTCAAAAACTAGTTTGGGGACTAGCCCCCAGTCTAGTTTGCTTCTAAGCCTGCTGCTGCCAACAATTATAGCTTGTGATTTTTTGGGATTCACAAGAAGGCCAAACGATTTAGCCCACGACTGTATAGCAGACAGGTCCATGTTTAACAAATCAATAGCCCTGGGCAGCTCAGCCAAACTGAAATGTCGATAAAGCTGTAAATCATCTGCATACAGATGGAAGGGAGAAGTAATAATTCGGGAAATGTTATTAATAAAAACAGAAAACAGTAATGGAGAAAGTACGCCGCCTTGAGGAACACCAGCCGTGAGCTCTAACCAATTTGACGAGGTATCGTCGGTTTTTACACACTGCTGGCGTCCGAAAAGGTACGAATAAAACCAGTTAATAACAAGAGGAGAGACGTTGACTGCACGAAGAGTACCAAGAAGTATGTCAAAATCAACGGAATTGAAGGCGCTGCTGAAATCCAACAGAGCAATTGCAGTGAGCTTGGTGTTATCCATAGCACACCGCACATCCTCCGTTATCTTCAGCAAAGCACCAACAGTGCTGTGGGATGAACGAAAACCGGATTGGAAAGGACATAACAGGTTGTAAGTTGTAAGGAAGGAGTAAAGTTGATCATGTACAATGGACTCAATGACCTTAGAAAGGATAGGGAGGATAGATATAGGACGGTATTGGGACATAGACGTAGGATTGGCGGTTTTGGGAAGAGGTATAACGATAGCCTTCTTCCAGAGTGTCGGGAAGACATTGCACGATAGTGAAAAATTTATGATGTGGGTGAGCACTGGTGCAATATCATCCAACACTGGAAGAATCATGTTAAGGCTAAGACTATCGCTGCCAATGGCTTTGGTGGAAATAGAACGGACACACTTCTTGATAACATCTTCAGAGACTAACTGAAAAAAGAAAGAAGGACAGTTTGGTGGTTCAAGAGAAGATAGATAAGAAAGAGTATCTGATTTCGTTTCGGAATCTACAGTAATGGGGGGGCTAGAAAAGAAAGAATTTAATGTATTAAGGTCAGCGGGACTGGGGCAGGCTACAGTAGTTTTGCCCACACCTAATGACCTTAAAAAACTCCAAACTTGGGTTTGACAGAGATCTTTGATTGTGGAGTGAATATAGCGACGTTTTGCGTCCCTACACATTCTGTTGCAGATGTTACGTAATCTTTTATATGCTACAACATTTTCATTAGATGGATACTTTTTACATCGATTCCTGGCTTTATCGCGTTTTGCCATGGTGTTTCTAATTGCTGGTGTTAACCATGGAGCTGGTGCATGCTTTATCCGCACTGGTCGTGCAGGAGCATGGATGTCATACACACGAATCAGTTCAGTAGTTAGATCGTTGACCATGGCATCAATGTTATTCGAAGCTAGTAGTGACGACCAGTCGATGTTTCTTATGTCCTCTCTCAAACGTTCAACATTAATATGCTTGAAATCGCGCTGAATAGAAACTTTGCCTCTAACCTTAGGAGGACGCACTTTATAAGTGAGAAAAATTAAGTCATGATAGGAAAAAGGAGCAGACATTTGACCGTGAGAAATAACAAAATTAGGGTTAGAGACAAATATCAAATCAATTAAGGAAGGCTTACAGCCAGGAAAGTAATGAGTGGGAGAAGACATGGAAAGTATATCTAAATTAAAAGAGGACAACAATGCATTCAGTTTCTGAGCTCGTGAATCGTCTTTCAGTATACAAGTGTTCAGATCTCCCATGCATATTACGTGATCAAAGTTTGGTAAAAGATGGTATAAAATATTTTCTAAGTCATTGAAATAGTTAATTTTATCACTAGGGTTGTAAAGAACACCAAGTAGAATTTTTTTGTGATGAATCTCAATATTTAAAAAAAGATATTCTATTGAGTCTAGCGAATGTGTTGGGGAGCAGAGAGTAATATTGGCTGGAATGTCTCCACGCAAATAAATACCCACTCCACCACCACCACGCCCAACGCGGTCGTGACGAAACAGTTTGTAGCCGGGTAAAGAACAACAAGTAGATGGTAGAGAGGGTTTCAGCCATGTTTCAGAAACTAGAATGCAGTCGACTACACTAGTGTCAAAGGATGTGAGAAGATCAGAATGGTGAGCTGGAAGACTCTGCGCGTTGATATGCACCAGTGAAAGGAGGTTTTTATTTGGGAGAAATACTTTCCGGAGCTTTCCCTCCAGAAGTTCAGTATCGGATAGTGAGCTATTGTTACTACTTAAGGCACTTTCATAATCATCTGACGTACAAGAAAAATAATCATCTTCAAAATTCATAAATGTAGAAATAAATAGGAAGAATATAAATTAATAAATAAAAATATGTATATAAAACTATAAAAACACAGTATAAATATTTACTAATGGTATAGACTTTATTACATTTTAAGATATAAAGTACTTTTATATACATTAAATGTTATTTATATTGGTGAAATAATTTTATAAGAAGCTCTCGTAATTATTATAAGAATTTTATCACTTATTAGTTTTTATATTATCATATTGCAATATCAAATATATTTACAACCTACTTAATGTACGTTCATAAACATAATAATTTCTTTACTTCACATAATTATCTCGTTTATCTACATCGGTAGCGCTTAACTTAGACAGATTTAATTTGAGATTGGCCAAGTATCGTCTACAACACTTTCTGTAATCAACCTTAATCGTTTATAAGCAATAACTAGCAAGTAATATGAAGTATGGAGAGTTGCAATATTAATAGTAATATTGATTATATTTGTAAGGTAAACAAGTTTTATATATATAACCTGAATCAAAGACGTAAAGTATACGCAATGATAGTCCTTTGTAACTTTTAATATCCTATTAATTAAGTAAGGAATTATAATATGCAACCTATTTTTAATCGTATTTTACATAAAACCTTCTTGTAATTAATTGGCTGTATAATATGAATTTTATTTATTATTACATCTGACCTCGTGCATTCTGCTACAAGAATGTTGTGCTTAAAATAAATAATTCTTAATTATTTTTATCTTTTAACGTCGTTATATGTATGTGTATGAAAATCGACTTATGCAAGAGTATAGCTTTTCTTTATAATGATTGTTAAATCCAAATTTGGTATTTTATTACGTAAATTTAACTTAGAAACGTGTGGGAAGTTCATCGTAGGTGAATCTGTATGGAGATATAATAGTTTGATTTATGACTTTATTATGTATAACTATGTCTAAATCTACATAATTAACTAAATATCTTGACAGTATTATACAAATACTTAATATGCTTACTCCAAGTTCCCTTTACGTAGCGTATGTAGTACATACGCCACGTCTATAGTTTGCACGTATTAAAGTAGGTTACTGTATGAGACGTTATAAATTCGTATTTATAAGAATGCAAACTTGTGGTAAGCATAGTTCAATGCCGAATTATAATTGAATATAGTTTTGTCATTCAACTTCATCCGAAACATATTTAATCTGTTGAATATGGCTTCTTTACTTTTAGAATAATTCTTCGCGCTATTTTTTATGTGTTCCGATGATATTTTTGGCTCTTAAACAGAATTAATATTTAAAACTCTATGTTAATTTATAGACTTATTGTGATACCTAAAGTGTATATAAGGAAGACTTTAATTATGTATTAAGTTCAGCATTTCTTTATTATATTTTAATATATTTAATACAACGACAATTCCATCTTAACTTGGATTTATTTAATTTCTTACAAACCAATCATTTGTAAATTATTTTATTAATTATTCTGTAGTCTGTAGTGTTTGACTATTCCAAGTAATGGTAATTAAAACGAATGATAATTTAAAGCCATATATATAAGATAGCAAACACACTACGCTATCCTTTAAGATACTCAAATATTAAATGTAATGAAACAGACATACAAACTAAAAGTCATTTACTAATCCCTAGCTACATATAAGAGTTAAGCTTCATACAACGTTTAGTTTAGGAGTTCGTGTTAATTGGAACAATTCCGAAGACTAATGGAAATGAGCACCACGCCTTCGACCTTTACGCAACACGTCCAATTAAAAGCAACAGTCGCTCTAGGTCATTCAGGCAATCTAGCTTCTAGGAATTTAACGTTATAATTATATATACGTACATATTTTTCATTATATAGTAAACTAGCTTTCCATCCGCAGCTTCGCCCGCGTAGAGTTCGGTTATATCGCGTTTCCAAGAGAACTTTTTAAAAGTCTGGGATAAAAACTATCTTATGTTCTTTCTCAAGATCAACTCTATGTCTGTACCAAATTTCATTATAATCTATTCAGTGGTTTAGGCGTGAAAGCGTAACAGATAGACAGACAGAGTTACTTTCGCATTTATAATATTAGTAGGGATTTCAATAGTATGTTGTTTATATGTTATTTATGGCCTACAGTCTGTATTATACAGTTGAATGAAGAGTTCTTATGAAAACTCAGTACAATACTCTCAGGGCGTAGGGACTGCAATCATATCCCCCAACGAAGTCGAAAGTAATAAAGCGAATAAAACTTGATTTAATCAAGCTAAGCCCTTCTCTCCCGGACGTAAGATCAAAGCATTGGTTATAAGAAAAAAAAACAATGACAAGTTTTTTTTATTTATCAATCTACATATAACTTGCCAGTCTTATTTTTATTTTATTTTTTTTTGTACGTAATAATGTAATTTGCTTACATTTAGTCTAGGGTAATAATTTACCTTATTTAATATTTTCATTTTTCATACATTTAATAATATGTTAACAGATAGTTACAACAAGTTTCCCCTATATATATTACTTGTGCTTCATATTACTGTAATTTTAAGAGTTCGGTATTTCAGAGTTCAGATATGTTCAAACTTGTTCAAACCTGAATGCCCTTGAAACACAATCGGTAAGATGAGTCACAACCCATAGTGCATATAATCTGATAATTTGAATACCTTTAAATTTATCATTCGTTATATACGTAACATTTTATTTTCAGTAAGCTATATTAGATTAGAGTAATTTTTTAAATATATTCCGGATTTAGTATTTGATCCAAAGCTATACGACTTATATGAATAAAGAGGTTTTTATGAAAAACTAAAGGATGTTTTTTTAATCATTGAACCGAATTTAATTGTTGAATACACACTATGTTGATAAATAGTTGATTATGTGTGTTCAAACTTTTAATTTAAACTGCGGTTCCATTGTATTATAAGCTGGATAGTATATTTATGCTGTGACTCAATATAAAACTATTTAAAGTTTAACGCTCGGTGTAATGGCCCTTGTTTAGTTGAATGCGGAATAAAACTTCACTGCAATTTAGTGTTGTAATGTGAGAAATATAAGCACCAGGCGTGCCTTACCTTTTCCTTTGTTGTCATGCTTTTGCGTTAGGAATATTGTCCTTTTCAGGTTTATAAAACAATGTTGGCATCGTAGAACAGTTGCACAATGAATACGTGTACTTTGTGCTTTTGACAATTAAATTATCATGTTACATTGTACAGTTACAAGGCATTTGATGAATGTGAATATATCTTGTCCCAAATTGATTTGGAACCAATTTTAGAGTAAATTATTATTGTTGGGATCTTTGTTCGTCACTTAGACTTGGAAATTAAGGATTTCAATTATTGGAAAACCTTATTAAAATAATGTCATATAAGAAATAAACTTGTGGCGATAATTTTGCGAAATATGAATGCAATTCTGTGCTGGGGATTTTGAATAATGAGGGATAAAATTCAAAAGTAATATGCCCTTTTCATGTTGCTAGAGTAAAAATCTATAACAATTAGATCTGTTCTTTGTTCTAGAATGTATCATCATCAATACATCGTTTTTTTCATGTTTATTCACAGACAGCCGAACGTAATTCTGGTTGGGAGACACATAGGGTGCGTCTGAACCGAGTGCCGGGGTATGGGTTCGGGATTGCGGTGTCCGGGGGCAGGGATAACCCCCACTTCGCAAGCGGTGACCCGTCCATCGCTGTTTCCGATGTACTAAGAGGAGGACCCGCTGAAGATAAATTGCAGTATGTATACACAATTAAACACTCTCTTACGTCTAAACTCTGAAGGGTCTACCTGTACTGGACATCTGATAACGAAACTGCTTTGTTTAAGTGGTTTGTTATGCATATAAATAGATTGAAATTAATTTATATTGATCTTAACGATAATTAAGATTTTTACGAGTACATATTTACATGAAATTTTCGGATGTGCTATACGTAATTTATTATACTATTTTGCATTTTATTAGACGTTTCGGTCACTTTACTGGCAGACGAGATGAAGATCTTTCATCATAGTTTAACTTTAATTATATTGAATTTGTAGTTTATTAAATAATTTTCAATGTTACGTTATGATGATGAAAATAAAATTTTCTCGTTTGGCTATATCATTAGTTAAATCAAGACAAGTTTGATTTTAAGTTTTAACAAATATTCTCGTTGAACAGAGTGAATGATAGAATAGTATCAGTGAACGGAGTGCCGTTGGAAAACGTGGAGTATGCGAGGGCTGTTCAAGTGTTACGGGAATCTGGGGCGACCGTGTCTTTGGTGGTGCGGAGACGAGCGCCGGCACCACCACCCACCGCGCCAACCACCATCAAACTGGCGTTGACGAGGAACGGAAAGAAGGAAGGTATGTATAACATTCCTTACAAATCCATTTCATTTCGTGGTTGATGTGTCCTAGTGGTTAAAAGCTCGCTTCTCATGCACGAGGAGGCGGGTTCGATTGTAGCAAGTACCAATGTTATTTTTCCGAGTCGTATGTACTTTTTAAAAGTGTTTAGACACTGTTGACAGACGGTGAAGGAAAACATAATGAGAAAACCTGGGCTCATAATTTCAAATTATAAGTGTGATATTGTTGATTTCACACTTACAATTTTGTCCTCTTTTGAGCAAGCGTGGTGATTAATGCTCAAACCTTCTTCATATGAGATGAGGCCTTTGCTCAGCAGTGGGCTCTGATAGGCTGATGATGATGATTTATTTACATTATTTTTTTGTCGTTATAGATTTCGGGATAGTCCTTGGATGCAAAATTTACGTGAAAGAACTGACCATGCGGGCGAGGGATCAGCTGAACCCGTCGGGACAAGGGTTGTGTGAGGGTGACGTCATAACGAGAATCAATAACACAGCCGTCACAGACGCTATGACACTGAAAGAGGCCAAGAAGTTAGTGGACTCGTGCAAGGATCGACTTAATCTGGTGATAACAAGAGAACTTATTAGAGAGGAGACCGTCACCAATGGAAATTACCAAAACAATTACAGTAGTCTAGGTGAGCTGACAATATTCTACTCTAATAAATCAATGGGCCCTACGTATATACCATATACCAATTTAACCATTTTAATTTTTATGCTTAATCACGTGTCTCGTATATATATCAGTTGTATATCAGTTGTCGCATGTACAAGATACAATGATCAAACTTAAAACGCCTCTAGTGAAAAGTGTAATTTTGCACATAGGAGCCATCGATATACTAAAAACAAAAAATCACTAATATTTTACCTGAATAATGTTATATTACAGAAGCCGCGCCTCACACCTACCCGAACAGCTCAGAGGCTATGTCCTCACCATATTCTATCAGCGGACAAAACCTCTACGTGGCAGCACCCGTCCGTGGAGACAGGCGACACGACGACCAGCCGCCGAGACCTCCGCCACCAAGGAATGACGGTATGAATACAGTTCACATTAAATTGGTCGTTATTTCCCAATCATCCAAGACCTACGCCACCAAGGAACGAAGTTATAAATTGGTCGTTATTTCCCTCGTTTACAAAGCTCCTTATTGTTAATATCTATTTCCAGACTATTACAGCAGTAGAAGACAGTTGTACGAAGAAGACGGTATGACGAATCAGAGAAACAAGCCACCGTGAGTTTAATTATTTTATACAAATTTATTTTATATACAACATAAATATATGTACATGCTATTTCAATAATAAAAGTAAGATAATATTCAATTAAAATAGACAAATAGCAATAAAATATATACTATGTATTTAATTTATATAGTCAGTCATGTAATTTACATATTTAACTTACAAACACTAAAAGCATAACACCAAACTAATACCAATACCAATACCTAAATACCATTCCTTTTTATATAAGAAATAGCTTTTATTAGCAAAAGTAAAAGAGGTTCTATATTTAATTCAAATATATTACAGGAGCGAGCCAAGATTGATAAGTTTCCAAAAGGAAGGGTCTGTGGGACTCCGTTTATGTGGAGGTAACAGGTCGGGAGTGTTTGTGTCAGGAGTACAACCTACAAGTCCCGCAGCTATGCAGGGACTACAGCCCGCTGATAAGATACTCAAGGTATTTTAGTGTGATTAAGTCTAACTAGATGGCAGCACTATATCTTTTTAGTTTCATTTTTGTGTATGCTTCTATGTACATATATTAGATGATTGTAGTGTGGTTGAGTTTAACTAGATGGCAGCTCTATATATTTTTAGTTCGATCTTAAGACTAGGATTTTCTATGCTTCTATGTATTACCTTCAAATGAAGTGTTTATTCAATTAACGAATTTGGGTGTACACCCATCAATACTAATTAATTATGAAAACCATACAAAGTATATAGCAATAACATTATAAGGTTTGGTATAGGTTGGTGCGACGACGATTTTAATGAGACAGTGAAGGTCACACTATTTTCTTATCATATAAGTTTTAGTATAATTTAGTAATATTGGAGTTAATATTTTTTATACGCACTACCACTCTTCTGTAATTATTTATGTAACAATGTAAAGAGAATTGTGTTTTGTATGTGATTATAAAAATCAAGGAAACATACATATAATCTAGTATTAAAGTTTTATATTAAAACAAAATTTTGATATTGTGCACTGCTTATTAACGATGTATTTTTTTAAGATTATTAAGTATATATTTTTATAATAACAGTCAAGTTACATCATACAATACTTAGACACATCAAATTCTAGTAAATCACCAATATCTACACTAGTTATATGACCCTACTTTCCCCGCAGGTCAACGACATGGAAATGAAAGGCGTGACTAGAGAAGAGGCTGTTCTGTTCCTACTGAGTTTGCAGGACCAGATAGACCTCATAGTACAACACTCACCTGACGAATACAACGCCGTGGCTAGCGGACAAACACGTGAGATAATGTTATACAGGGTGACTGGTGAATTACTATCGATACTTGAGGACGTGATATTTGACGATCATATATGACAAAATAAAAATTAATATAACATAAATATTAATAAACTTCCAAGTAAAGTTAACCAAAAGTTATGTAATTAATTACGCATCGTGTGAACACCCTACAGATTAGGTATACACAAACACACACACACGCGTGCGGCGGCGTGGTTTTGTATCAGCACGCCGCCTCACGCGTCCACACTTGGAACGTGTCCACACTTTATTTATTTATACGGAAATTTCGTCAAAAATTAAGTACCTATTTTTTTTACATAATTCGAATGAGAATCATGTACCGAGTATTCTCCTTAAATATTGATAGTAATTCACCAGTCACCCTGTATATATAAAATATATACATATTTCCGAATTAATAAACAATCATCCAAATCAAATAAAAAGATTAAAAAGAAGCATATAAATGTTCGAATTGAGAAACTTCTCCTTCTTGATGTCGGTTAATAAAATAATGATGATGCGGTTTAATTTAATTTATTTAGACCTAATTTAGATTTCATTCTATATCATATTAAAATGATATCTATTATTATATAATTATATATAGTTTTTCATTAAGTCTGGTTCGAAAATTATTTTTGTCCCATCATTCAAAATCAATACCATTTCTTTAAAATAAAATGTCTAAGGTATTTCTAAGTCACAGGTTTTCAGTACTTTACATTAAATATCATAATTAGTGCAAAATAACGTATTTTATACTTATTTAGTCGTATTTTTTAACAGCGGGTGATTCGTTCCACGTTAAAACTCATTTCCATTACACCGAGCCGACGGAAGGCGAGATGTCGTTCCGTTGTGGCGACGTGTTCCACGTGATGGATACCTTACACAATGGAACGGTCGGCGCCTGGCAGGTCTACCGGATAGGTGAGATACACACACATACATATATACACATACATACATACATATATATACACACACACGGATAACTCATGTGCTTGTTTAATATCTATTATATAAGAATGGAAATAAGATTATCATTCATGTAATAGATCTACGGTTGTTTTGTATTTATTCCACTGGACTTAGAGACAAGTGAAAATTTGCAAAAAAATTGGCTATATTCCATTTTTTTCGGTCTTACAAATAAAGATTCCTTACATATGTTACAACCATTCTGAAGTTTGCAAGTTACAATAATAACTGGTGGTTTAAGATGGAAAAATAATATAATTTCTCAGGTCGTAATAACCAAGAAGTTCAAAAGGGCACGATCCCGAATAAAGCTCGTGCTGAGGAGCTCGCCACGGCACAGTTCAATGCTACCAAGAAAGAGATGTCCGGGAACGACGCTAAGACTAACTTCTTCAGGCGACGAAGATCAACACACAGACGGAGCAAGAGTCTTGGCAAGGTGGGCACTTAGAAGACTACTATGTACTATAAGGATCTGATAGATATAATGCATGTCTATAATAAAACGTGATATTAAATATGTGCAAACAGAAATAAATTATGATTGTCATTTTTGGTAAAATCTTATTGATACTAAATACAATAGCGAGAGCTTGAAACTTTTTTCTATCATTTGCAATTATCTATACATATTTATGTTAATATCCACACCTTGTATGAATTACTATAAGTTAATACTTTAATACATTATAATTAATGAATTCATTTCACCAAAAATATTATCATAGCAAATTTCTATTACTACTAGAAGACCCGGCGAACTTCGTTTCGCCCTATAATCAAGAAATATCTGTTACGTTTTTTTATTTATATTTTTGGAGTTTACCTATTAAAGCCATAAATCTCCGTGTTTTGAAGTGATTAGGAATGATTAATAGTTAATATGAGAGTTACACTGAGCTAGCAAAATAATAATTGTCAACGTTACTACTACACTTGATGCACAAACAATAACGATGGCCGACAACTGTGTAGGGAGTGAGAGAAGTCTAATTGTGTGAGAGAAACAGAAGACCGGCTTCGTTCTCATCCCTACTCCGTGCTGTTTACTGGGTCAGAAGTGACACCTGTAGATATCTGGCGGGGATAACTTATTAAATGACGATTGATCAGTTATCGACCGGAGATGAAAAATGATTAAATTACTAAAATAGCTATTAAAAAATAAGGGTTGATCGTAGAAGGGTGAAAATTTAGGATTGTATGTATTTTTGTACGTTGTATCATAAAAAATAGTAATTAAAAATTTTGTCTAAAAAATAAAAAAAAAAAATTTAGGGGTGGACTACCCCTAACATTTAGGGGGATGAAAAATAGATGTTGGCCGATTCTCATAGCTACCGAATAAGCACAAAAAATTTCATCAAAATCGGTCAGGTTGTTTCAGAGGAGTATGGGCACGAAAACTGTGACACGAGAATTTTATATATTAAGATATAGCTGTAATTTTTATAGCCATCTACCAAGTTCCTACATATTTCATATATATATAGTTCTTTTAAGCAAATCAACATTAATATTCAACTATAGCCACTATTCTATCTTTCCAGGAGCATTGGGACGAGGTGGTGTTATCAGACAGTATCAGTAAGTTTCCTGCCTACGAGCGCGTGGTGCTCGCTCAGCCTGGGTTCGTGAGACCAGTCATTGTGTTAGGAGCTTTGGCTGACGTGGCCAGGGAACGACTGCTGGCTGAACATGGGGATAAATTCGCTTCACCCAGTGAGTATAAGAACCGTAGCAGCATTAAGTAATTAATGTAGCATTAAGTGAGGGTAATTCTAGATTGAACTATATTATATACTAGCTGCGCCCTACGGTGTTACCTGCGGATTTCCGGGATGTAAAGTAGCCTATGTGTAATTCCTGGACGTCAGCTTCCTGTATACACAATTTTATCAAAATCGGTTCAGCCGTTTGAGCGTGAAGAAGTAACAAACATACACACAAACTCACAAACTTTCGCAATTATAATATTAGTAGGATGGATTTTAATCGAAATTAGTTGTTGAAGTAAATTAGGTTAGATAGTAAAGTGTATAAGCTGGTATTTATTGGATATAAATATTATATTTTAGTGAAAGTTTTTTTGCGAAATATGTATCTTGATCTCGAATTTATCGAGTCTTATATTTTATATCATTTGCTAACAGGATTAAAAAAGAATAATAACTAAATATATTGTAACTAAGATTGAATAATAATATGTAATGTAAAAGCCATTTGCTGATAGCGTTATTAGAAAATATTTCAAACATCTAGGTTAAAAAAATTATATTGAGTGATGTGGAAACATAACATTTTAGATATTTAAGTGAATTAAATTTTATTTGTATATAAAAATCTATTGCCGAATAGAGGCCAGGTAGGAACGGATTTTACGAAATTCCACTCACAAGGGGTTTTGTGGGGCATCAATAAAGAAAAATTCTCGTTTTTAAAATATAACTCCTATGTACATGCATCAAATTTATTAGAAATCTTCTATATGTGACATAGACATTATCTATTAGCAAATTTAATAACAATTCCTATTCAATAAAGATTTTGGAGGATGGTACTAACTATGAAAATTTTGTTAATTCCACTCGATGACTCGATTAATACTAGTAGTATAGTAATACTAGTGCATTAGTACATACATAACATAAAATAACTGTTTCAGAAATGGACAGCACTTTAGAAGACAGCAAGTCCAAGCCGAGCGGCATCATTCGTCTTTCAAGTATTCGTAGCATCATGGAGCGAGGGAAACACGCGCTGCTAGACATAACGCCTAACGCCGTGGACAGACTCAACTACGCGCAGTTCTATCCCATAGTTATATTCCTTAAAGCCGACAACAAACACATCATCAAGCAACTAAGAAGCGGTCTGCCTAAGTCAGTGTCTATCTTTATAATTGACTGTTAAATATAATCTAAATTATAGATTTGATTGTCCAAAATTCTAGTGCTTAGGGGCCGTTCAAGTATTACGTAAGCAGATTTATTATAAATATTTACCCCCCCATCCTCCTTGTCAGCAAAAGTAAGCAAAGCTCTTACGTAAAAAAAATATTTTTTATGGATCTTCTCGATGTGACGATAAAAAATTTAATAACTACCGCTGACGTATTCGATTCCTAGACTCCCCTACCCCCCATGTCATCCAAAATAAGCAAAGCAAAGACCCCCCCGCCCCTCCATAGTGCTTACGTAATACTTGAACGGCCCTTAAAACTATTTGTAACTAGAATGAAACTTACCGAATTAAAACAAAATTGAAACTTGAAGATGATTTCATTACCAATTTTGAGAAGAAACTATATCAACAATACATTTTTTTCCAGGTCCGCCCACAAATCATCTAAGAAGCTTCTAGAACAATGTCAACACATGGAGCGTGTGTGGGGCCACGTGTTCACACACACTATAACACTCAGTGATGCCAACATTAACACGTGGTTCAGTAAACTGGGCGAGCTGGTGCAGCGGACACAGACACAACAACTGTGGGTGTCGGAAACTAAGGTTGGTACTCATGGAACTATTAAATTGTACCAAAAAAATGACAAATTAAATAAAAAGTAATATTTTCGGATTACTACTACACTAGAAACTATATTATGTCGAAGTTTCGGTTAGATTAGTTTTTAAAAATAATAAAATACGTATAGTAATTGAAAAGTATTAGTTACATTTAAATGAATATTTGCGAAAGTCATAGATCCCATTAGGCGTCTCTTTATAACTTTATATGTTAATTAAATTCATATCGAGAGGTTAGTTCAATCTGAATGATGACATTAGAATTTGTGTAAAAATTTTAAGCTCAAATACATATATATGTATGCTTATTACGTAAGAAGGAACGATATAAAGCTTTTTAATTTTTTGTCATATATATGTAACGTTTATGTATTAATAGATCAAGGTCTGGTGCTTCTAAGTTATTATTGGTGATGGGTCAATGTAAGAACATCTATAACTTCTATAGACACATGGTGTTTATAAAGCTAATCTTCATTTATACATTACTACCATATGTCTTTGTATCTATGTATTAACCAATTTCTTTCTGTTCTGTCTTGGTGTAGCACGTTGAAATGGTGTCGGACATCTACTTCCCAACCCCACCTTCTCCGTACCAAACCTTCTATCCCATTTCCCATCCTCTCAGCTACTATCACAGCCCACAAAGATCTATCACACCTAAAGCATCCCCATGTAACACTAACAAACTCAAACGCCACGATCAAGTGTACGACGCTAACAGAAATCATGTTGTGCCATATTATTACTCTGAAACATTAACGCCGTGCATGCCTAATAACTTTTACACACCCAAATACACTAACCGCGGTAGACACGGTCCGTATGATGAGAGGCACGCTCAGAGAACCAGATTGACTCCGAGGCTGCAAAGTTCAAGCGTCAGTCCTGAACTTGCGCAGATTTTCACAAAAACAAACACTCCGCAGTCGTTCAGACCGTATAGTGTTTTAGAAAATTCCACAGCGTCGCCTCTGCCTAGAATACAAAGGCCTACGTCTGTTGTTCCTATGTCAGATAACTTTAGACCGGCTTCCGTATTCTTCAGAGATACTAAACTCAATGAAAAATCAAACGAAGTACAAGAAATCAAATCGCTTCCCCAAAAGGAAACACCTAGACCCATTCTGGATAAATCTTTCAGACAGATCTGTAGAATACCAAATTGCAATTGCAATTTAAAACCTATGAACAATCTGCCGAGATTTAGCGAGTCCCGTACATTACCTACTCTATCTTCTAAATCGCTCGACAAAGTTAAAAATTTATCTCTCCCTACACTCAAATTGGACGATTTAAACGATTTTGGGAGAGATGTTCCTGAGATCGAAAGAGAAATAGAGTCTAAGCCTGTCTCTGAAAAACATTTGGGTTTCGTTTAACCTAACGCCTTGCCTTGCTTCATAGTTACCATTACATAACTTTATCACTTCACAATGTATATAAGCTTTATGTATTGCTTGTTTTGGTTAGTTGTATTATATTGGCTTGTATTATTATTTACTATACGTTAAGGCCCTTTGGAATCTCGCATCGGATAGAGTTAAATTTTGCAATTAATTTGTTTCATTTTTGTTAGCAGAAATAATTGTGTGAATAAATTTTGTATATAATTCCCGAAAACCAAATCTTAATTTCCCGTTTTACAATAATAAATATAGACGTCCAAATAAAGAAAATTATAATATATTTTAATGAAGTCAATAAAAAATTCTTTATTCGGACGTCAGTGTGTGTATTTTGCATTAATCATTTACAGTTACTAAATATATATATTTAGTTTCTGTAATATATGTGCGTTCATTCATTCGTCTTGTCTTATCACCCCATTCCATACCCACCTACGTCGGAACCGGGAATCAAACGACGTGAACAGAGACCGGAGCCTTTGTCGGATGACTTTTTATTCTCAATGTCTTCGAGTTCAGAGAATAGATTGTCGTACGCATCAAGTCCTGAGAGCGATTTGGATATAAGTCCGCCGCCTGCTCCAAGATTAGTGAAGTCTTCATCAGACCCATCGATAGCGACCACCCAAGATAACATGGACCGCGACGACGATATCAACCTTATGGCCGAACCAGTTCCACCTCCGTATACGGTAAATATACATTATAATACCTCAATCGGCACTAATTAGAAGACAAAAAAAGAAAAAATCAGTGCAAAAACACTGTATATTAGTCCAGTCATTATAGTAAGTTCACCTCGGAATTCGAGATACCCAGCTGTAAGTCTGTAAATAGTTGCATATATACGCCCTAAAAGTTGTCTCAAAACCTACATATGGTAGGGTGTAAGCAACTATTAAATTTCAAGGTTCAAAGGTCACAAAAATCGTTTTTTTGCGCTTTTTTTGGAAATATCTCATTTCCTATGGGTTTTTTGCTATTTGTATTTATTATCAAAATTGTAGAATACTAAATTCTCTACAAATTTTGTTTCAAAAAATTTTTTATACGGTGTACCGTTTTCGAGATAGAAGGCGGAGAGCGCGCGGTCACCGCATCACTTCAGGTCAACCGGTGCCTCCGGTCGAAAACGCGCCATTTATAGTTGATTAACTATCCATAAATCAATGATTATAAATATTGCATTAAATCTATATCTATTCAAACCTTATTGGCAGTCTATAATGCTCCGAAATCTGTGAAAAGTCTCGATCATCTTCGTTATACGCATTTCGTCAAGTCTACAAAACTTAATAAACCTGCTTTCAAATATTCCACCAACAAGTGCAGCTGCTCATCAACATTTCAACCGTGTATATTATCAAGTTCAAACTTGGTTAGGACATGATTTGGAACCCCAGGTATGGGGTTTGGGCAATGCGAAATGATTTTCTGGAGCCTATCATGACAATTTTACCACCTGCTCCAGAAAATTTGCTAAATACAATTTTCTGCAACTGCAAAAGTGGTTGTGGTTCGCGATGCGGATGCAGGAAAGCGGGCTTGCAATGCTCTTTAGCTTGTGGCCAATGTAATGGGCAAGCTTGTCTCAATGCTCAACCATATCAGAGCGACATTAACGAAGATGGAACCTTTGATCCCGAAATCATGGAAGAACTTGAGACAAATGTCGTTGAAGACGATAATGAAGACCAGTTTGAAATTTACCAGCAGCCAGAAGACGACGATGAAGAGGAAGAAGATGTTTAAAATTATAAATTGTGGTTTTTGTACCCTTTATTTCATTTTTTTACTTTCAACAAAAAATAATTTATTCAATGATATTTTTTAATAAAAAGATTAATTCATAATTTATTTGTTATTTTTTTCATCGTGTAAGAAGTTATTAATATTAATTAGGTTAAAATTCAAATATAATTCTTATATTTTCTTTAACAATTCTGCAATTACATGGACAAGTAAGTGTTGTTAAATAAATTAATACTGAATAAAAAGTGGATAAGTTTGGAAAAAAATGATAAAATATAATATAATAATTAATAAAAATTTACAAATATTTATAATCATTGATTTATTGATAGTTCATCAACTATATATGGCGCGTTTTCGACCGGAGGCACCGGTTGACCTGAAGTGATGCGGTGACCGCCCGCTCTCCGCCCTTTATCTCGAAAACGGTACACCGTATAAAAAATTTTTTGAAACAAAATTTGTAGAGAATTTAGTATTCTACAATTTTGATAATAAATACAAATAGCAAAAAACCCATAGGAAATGAGATATTTCCAAAAAGACCGCAAAAAAACGATTTTTGTGACCTTTGAACCTTGAAATTTAATAGTTGCTTACACCCTACCATATGTAGGTTTTGAGACAACTTTTAGGGTGTATATATACAACTATTTACAGACTTACAGCTGGGTATCTCGAATTCCGAGATTCTTACCTAATTTAAGCTTAAATGACTGGACTATATAGTATTTGAAAATAACCGATTGCGCTATTGTAATTTACATTATAAAAATCATTCTGTTTCATTGCTTCTGTGATTGTGAAATTGCCATTCGAAATTGAGTCTTAGTTTTAATGAGTAAGGTTTATTTTACAGCAAGGTGGTTATGATAGCAAGTATGGGTTCGCTAACGGGAACAGCAATGGCACTCAGAGCCTGCCGACCGAGGCCCCGCCATATCAGATGCAGTCTTCGCCGCCGCACTCACCTTTGTATGGAACAGGTAGGAACAAAACTATCTGAATCAGTCTATGTGATATGTCCTTTAGTATGTATTAGAGCAAAATAATCTCTCAAGGTCAAGGCAACACCTATTATTAAGTTAAATAAATATAAAACTTCCCCAAAATATTATAAAAGTTCTTTGAAACAAATTTTATATTAAAATACAACATTTGTTGTTGTTATTCAAACAAGGAAAATTCTATAATTAGTAAATAAATTACGTAAATTGGTACTTTTTAAAGCTGACCACCACTCTTGTAAAGTTCATTCAAACATACACAATTTTTTTCATATAACAATTCATGTTATTACATTATTTATGTCTATGTAGTATAATTGTGATATGAAAACATATATTTTACCGATCGAATTCTAAGCGTATACTCAACCTCAGATTTTCTTTATTACACTAAAAGCATAATGTAGTTAATATGTCTGAAGTATTTATTTAAATCATCTCTCGAATATCAATATTTCGAAAACATTGAAAACAACTTCATTCTTGTACAATAATTTGCTTCATTTGTATACTAGAATTGTAGAATATTTTTGCCAATGTAAACATTTTTACTTGTTGGACGAATTATAATATTGAGCGTGTGGAGAAAACACGAAAGTGTTATTCGAATGGAATAAAAACGTTTATTTATATTCAAAAACATAATAACTAATAATGTAACCAATGGCAGCTTACACTATGTTTTCCATATTTAATCATAGATGTCGTTACTTTACCTGGATTAGTTTCGTTATTCCTTCAAAAGCAATAGCTTTATATATATATGTATGATCAACAGTACCCGAGCTTCCCCCCCGTGGCCCTCCTCCCGGTGCAACCCCCTCCAGGCCGACGGGTGGTGTACTACTGCCCGCACCTCCCCCCACACGACACGGACTACGACACACTAATAATGTGAGTATCTAGATATTATAATATACTAATAATGAATTATATTCTAGAGGATAGTCTATAATTACAATAATTAAGACAAATGTCTCACTGGAGTAAATTTTCATTTTTGCTGTGTAATATGCTAGTTGCGATCGTGACTTTATTCGTATTATGTCTGAGGTACATTATTGATAAAAAAAATGTATTAAAAATCAACGAACGTCCATAAATTACCATATTATAATTTATTATGAGGTTTAAAAAATCATCATTATCATAAAGAACTATATAAAACTAGCTGTGCCCCGCGGTGTTACCCGCGGATTTCCGGGTTGTAAAGTATCCTATGTGTAATTCCTGGACGTCAGCTTCCTGTATACAAAATTTTATCAAAATCGGTTCAGCCGTTTGAGGTGAAGAAGTAACAAACATATAAACACACTCACAAACTTTCGCAATTATAATATTAGTAGGAAGTAGGATTCTCAGTCAGGTTTTGGACTTATAAAATATAATTATCAATATTAATACTATATGTTGTTCGTTCACAGCCTCGTCCTTCAGCCCAGGAGCGTCTGTTCGGGTCCAAGGAGGGCGAGGACCCGTACAGCGGCCGGCCGCAGCAGGGCTCGCTGGACAGACACAGACATACTAACAACCCGGTGAGATACACACATATATATTATATATGTATATGTAGCCATGTAATATTTTTGGGATATGTACTACGCGCCTTATTTTTGCAAAAAAAAAATCTAAACAATCCTGACGTTTCGGCTACTTTTCAGCAACCGTGATCTCGGGGATTCGCATAATAATTATTGAATAAATTAATTCACGTTATAACTGAACAATTTGAGAACACGCTATTGAGAATGAAAATAGCTTTCTATAATATATCTTAAATATATATTATCAACTCACTAATAAAAAAATCGTTTAAAGTTTTTTCCTGATATAACATACAAAGTAATCTAGGAAGACTTCATACAATATTTCCAAAAAAAAAACAATATGTAAGTTTTATCAAAACCAGAACATAAAATATCTATACTTGTGTCACTGTTTTTTTAAACTAATATACCCTATACATAATTTCGGCAACATAGCGTATTAACTATCTAAGGGTTACAAACAAAGTTTCTCGTATATAATAATACATGTTATATTTTCTATTCTCCGCAGCAGAGTTCATACGACGGTACATATGACTACAGCAGCAACGCTCACAACCCGTCTCGACTCCCGCCTAACGCGCCGGACGACCTTAAAGTTGCTCCCACCATGTAAGATAAACACTAATTACCTTAAAAACTATAATATATATGTATAAGCACTAGCTTTCCAACCGCGGCGTCGCCCGCTTCGAGTTCGGTTATATAGATAGCGTTTCCAAGAGAACTTTACAAAAGTTTGGGATAAAAACTATCCTATGTTCTTTCTCAAGTTCAACTCTATCTCTGTACCAAATTTCATTAAAATTAGTTCAGTGGTTTAGGCGTGAAAGCGTAACAGACGGAGTTACTTTCGCATTTATAATATTAGTAGGGATATGAAAAATGTTAACAGTAACAACTATATGTTACCCGAAAAAATACAAATATAAACTATGTAAATATAAATCTTTTTATCACACCAATAGTAAAATGGAACCTCAGCCGTCGTCGAATCCTGCGAATATGGCAACACAGAGCCCGCAGAGAAACTCAAACTCACACGAACACAACTCGTTGGACTATAACAGAACACCGGAGAACAACTACAGGTAGAGTAACGAATACACAAATAGTAATTAATGTATAAATAGAATTAAACAAGTTAATAATATACATGGACCCCACAGACCCGACAACTACCGCACCCCACAAGTCCGACCGCCTATGAACGGGAACAGCCCGCACGCGCAGAACGCCCATAACGCCCACAACAACCATAACGCTCATAACGCCCAAGTCCAGAACGCTCACAACCCTCATAACGCCCACAACGCTCATAACAGTCAAATCGTCAACACGCCCATGCACGCCCGAGGACCCTCCTTACCAAATGTACCCACAAACGATCACGCCAAATACAGGTTTGTTAAAAAACATTATTATATGAATATTATATCTCATTAAATATATAACAACACTAGTCATAAGTACAACTAAACATCTAGTTGTAGTATTTGAATTTAATTTTCCATATTTTCCTATATTACATTCTTGGAATTTTAATCTAGAAACTTCTTATTGGTAAAGCAGGTAGAATGCGGTGTACCTACCAATCGTTCCCAATTACCTTAATTCGAAGTATTTAAAGTTAAATACATAATTATATGCATATAATATCATATATTATTCCAGCGCACGCACAAACTCAGCGTCCCAAGCGGACTACAGCGGACGAGCGCCGCCATACAAACCCGTGCCGCCGCCGAAACCCAAACACTACCGACCTCCCGAACAACCGCTCCAACAACACCAACAACAACACCCACAACAGCACCCACAACAACACCCACAACAACACCCACAACACCAACAACAAATTAATCAACAACATCTCCCGCCGCATCCACGGAATGGAGTAAGTTTATTTATTTATTTATTAGAAATAGTCACACCATCGACTTATCACTAACACATTCACTTAGCAGTAGATGCAGGGTATTAAATCTAGGTGAATAAATCATTACAGGTGTAAACAACATTGACCTTAAGATAAGACTATACTAACCTAATTATATCTTTACTAAATAATAATAAAAAAAACAAACTATAACTTTGATATATTCATGAATTTTCACTTTTTAACGACAAAAAAAGGCAATATTGCCTTTTTTTGGCGTTAAAGCATATGACATAAACCTTAGACGTCGCTTAAAAAAATCTAATTTTATGTATTTAAAATGTTTCTTCTATACAATTTGCTTCACTTCTGTAATTTAGGGCCTGCGTTGAGTAAAAAAGTGTCTAACATCGTAATGTGTATTCCGTTTCAATGTGTGATGTTTTTGGTGTGTAGAATAATGTTATTCGATGTACATATTAAGAATTAGTTTAGTTTTCTATATAGTATTTTCGACAACTGGTATTTATAAATATTTGTTTTGGCCATAACATATGCCCAGTTCGATGACCTTAAATAGATTTGTCATTACACCTTCATTGTAAACTAAGTGAATATTTATGAAAACTATTTCTTGTTTTAAACATTGTGTCCTATAATCACAATTTAACAGTTTTTTTTCAATGGTCCTGTAATTAATCGAAATATTAAACACTAAATTATTGACATATACAATAATTCTTCTATGTATTCATCATTTATCCAGACAAAAATATCTCTTACTATTGTATAAGGTTAATATTTTTAAGTATCAGCAATTTTTACAATCATTACCCATTTTGTAAATAAATACGAAATTTTGTCGTCACATTCAATAACGAACAATCACATTTATAAGCAAGTGCTTACTAAAATAACTTTGGCATATTTAAAATATTTTAAATTTTAGCGGTATTTTATATGTACTACATGTATGAATGTATCCACAGAGTATGGACGTGTCAGTTCCCGGTACACACTACTCACACTCTCACTCACACTCGCAGCCACACCGGGCGCCCCACGGACACGGCTACCATCAGGTAATACATTAAATATCTATGTATATATGTACTATATTCTATCTTTAACTAGCTTTCCGCCCGCAGCTTCGCCCGCGTGGAGTTCGGTTATATCGCGTTTACAAGAGAACCTTTCAAGAGTCTGGAATAAAAACTATCCTATGTTCTTTCTCAAGGTCAACTCTATCTCTGTACTAAATTTCATTAAAATCAGTTCAAGGGTTTAGGCGTGAAAGCGTAACAGATAGACAGAGTTACTTTCGCATTTATAATATTAATAGGGATTACGATCCTGCAAAGTGGTGTCAAATTTGTAATACTGAAATACTGACAAAAAAAGTATGAAAAGATATGAGTAGAGGTTGTAAAATTAACTTTAAAGTAACTTTACAAGAGAATCATGTTTATCTATTACAGTCAATAAGACATATAGACTTTGAAAGAACTACATATTTGTAAAATACTAAATAACCATATAAAATACTAAGCAAAATATTATAATATTATATTGCTTACAGCAAAACATGTACGGAGGAGTCCAAGCGCAGTCACCACCGTACGCGCCTCCACCTCATAGAGCCATCAACCTCCCACACAACCCGCATCTGATTGGTAATGAATTAACACAAAAAATACACACACACACACACACACACACACACGCAAACACACACACACACACACACACAAAGACTCACGAACACGCTGTTACCACCCACACATATGTATGTACTTAAGTTAACACACACATACAAAAGAGACTATAAAGATACACACATACATACGCCACATGTGTGCGTCACACACACATACGTGACATTCATATTCTATACAAAGGTTTTAAATAAAATTTAAATTATATTGAAAATAATTACAGCTTAAATAAAAATATACGCTTAGCGATAATGTGGATGACAAAACTTAATGTCTTGTATGCATTATATTGAATTAATTTAATTATACATTAATATGACGTCACCTTGTTTTCATACAGGATGTTATAGAAACATAATTAAATACAATACTACCTTCCAGATTTAGCTGGCAGTAGAGAACAGCGCGGATCAGCCTTCGAGCTGTACAGGAAGCCTCAACACATGCACAACTTGAGGTAAAACTTCCAATACAAGGCACTCTAAGTCCTATTTAGACGCACCTAAGACTGATAATTGCATGTTCCCGACATTAAGGAACTCAAGCCCCTGTACAATTTGCTCTAACATGCAAACACAATCGCTTCACAACGACTAACACGTCTTTCGGGCCAGTATATATGGTTAGTATGTGGAATATAGATATATATGTAACATAATATATATAGGGAATTATATCGAGTAACGTAGTACGTTTGTATTGGCAGTGCGTGTCTGCATTTTAGTGCAATTGTTGATTTCTTTAAAGCATATTGAATTATATGTCTCTATATCTTCTCTGTCCGCTCTTTATATTCTATTTTTTAATTAGATTATCTTCTATGTATGTATATGAAGCTTATAAGATTATCTAGTTGTGAACATTTATTTCAATATGCTTGATCATAAAGAATCACAAAATTCATCATTTATAAATTATCATTATCGATCCGGACATGTCAGAATGTTCAATACTTGATAATTAAGGTCTAGAAAGTTCTATTATAATATTGAATAATCTGAGGTGTTCTATGTCAGTATCATTGAGTAACTAAGAGGGTGTTTTGGTTGTGGGTTTCCGCAGCTCCGACGTCATGAACTCCAGCTTGGAGGCAGAAGAGAATTTCTCACCAAAAACTAAAAAGAAACTATCTAAAAAGCCATCGTTCATTAAAAATGCGGTCCTAGATCTGTTCAGATCTAAAACGAAAAACTCGCAGAAAGTATCGCGACAGAAATCGCTTTGCGAAAACGATTTGCAACAGAGATACGTCCAACAAGTGCCGGCGTTGAGACGAGAGAAGTCTGACCTCAGTGATTTAAACACTCACATGAGGAATACACACATCAGGAACCAAATGTTGCAACGAAGCAACTCATCCTCATGCGAAAAACCGAACTTAAAACCGATACTCAAAAGACAGAGCTCGTTCTGCGACGACAGAAACGGCTCAATATGTACAGTCAGAGATTACGAAACGAAACCCGTCACTAGGAATCTGATACGACAGAATTCTATGTGCGAAATAGAAACCGAACCTAAAGTTACCCCCCTACTACGTAGACAGAACTCACTCATAGAATATAGTAGGAGAGGTGTGTACTCACCTAACCCTAACTTTAATATGATCACCAAAATAGATCCCATTTACCAAAGACAACAGCAAATAAAACATGAACCTTTCTACCCAACACAACCGCTACCTCCAGAACCTATATACCAAAGCAAAGAACATATTGTATACGATCCTATACCTAAGCCGAGGAGAACATATACCTCTCTTTACGATACCTCAAGCGAGAATCCATACGCGAGTAGATCGGAAATATCAAATCAAAGTTTCGAAAGCCCTTACGGCAATCGTGAAACCGTAGCAATGCCTCTACTAGATCCTCCCTATGCTACAAGAGCTGAATGCATGAGGGAAAGTAATTATGGTAATAGAAACGATATGCCCGAAAATCCATACTCTCTGAAACAAGACGTGCCTAGAAAACCCGAATCACTCTATAGCGAATTGCCCTATGTGAGCAAAGAGCAGATGTTGAGGCAAAGGATGACGCCTGAAAGTCCGTATGCCACTAAAGAGGATATGTTGAGACAAAGATTCTCAGAATCACCGTACAGTCCGAAAGACGAAATGATTAAACAAAGAATGGATGGCTCACTAACATGTAAGGAACCGATTTACGGTAAAAGAACATACGAGCCACCACCGAGCACGTCCTGGTCTGAAAATAATACATACGGCGTACGTCCAGATAGAAGGTTGCAAACACCTGTTAACTTCATAGGAAGAATATCACCTATGAGCAAATGTATGAGTGAACCTCCGTATGTTAGTAGAACAGAAATGATGGCACGAATCTCCCAAACAGAATCTCCATACTCAACACGATCTGAACTGAAATCGAGTTGCTCTGATAACGGTTACAATAGAAACGACAGTCTCGATCACTCCACAACCGTGAGGCCGGCCTCCGCGGAGTGTACGTACGTTACCAAACAAGAAATACTATCACAAAAGGCAGCTTTACTGGCCAACAAAGAACCTATATACGGTAGCAAGTTAGAGGAAAAGTTAGAGATTATAAAGCAAAGAAACCAAGCTAAAAAAGAAAAAATATATCAAACCAGACTAGAAACGAACGACAGTGACTCAATGAAAAGCAGAGAACCGTTGTATGTTTCTAAGAGGGAATTAAAAGATAGTGTCATATATGAGTCTAATCAGGAAGCGAAAGAAGTACAACCAGTCAGTCAGGAGGGCAGCGCTAGGAGCAGTCCTTACGAACTGAGCGACGCGAACCATCTATCACGACGAGAGTCACTGTACCAAACAAAAGCAGAGGCATTAGACAGTGAAGTCGAAAAGTTCCAAGAAATAGATTTCTCAAAACTAAGATTAACGGAATCCAAAACCGATGCAGAAAAAGAAAAAACAAAGAATTTAGAGAACAACATATTGAAAGGCGAACCGCAGTACGCGCCGAGATTGCACGGAAAAGTCGATCATATATCAAACGCGCTTAAAGTAACCACATCCCCAACTCCTTACGATTCGACCACTTCAATGGAAACACATTACGCGTCAGAGTGTAGTATGAACTTCGAGAACAAGCCGCAGAGCACTCCTTACACGTCACAAGATTTACAAGATAAATCTAAAGCCAATCGAACAGTGACGTTTTGTGAACAAATATTAGAAAAGAGTCCAGAGACTAGCGAGGATAAATCTGAAAATACGACCGTAGGAAACGAAACTACAGTCATTAACGATAGTACAGTCATCAAGACTGATAGCGAAAACGCTGATGACTCCGCGAATAAGACAGAAGTGCAACCAGACGGTCCTCATACAACTTGGGGTATATTCGACAGTGAGGGTGGAGTTTTAGAGGACAGGCATTGGGGTGTATCCCTCATCATCCCGCCTAAAGCCATCGCGCCGGGAATCAAGCAAAAGATCTATTTTACCGTCTCTGACCCGCGACTGAGCCAGCGAGTTGGTGGCCCGCCCATCGACCTAGATAACGGTAATATTTATATAACGACGCACGAGGTTTTATAGAGTAGACTGCACTTACTAATCGGCATTAACACGAGTGAATGAAACGGGAAGATGTGCTCTTAGATGTATCGTGATGTTTGTTTTATTGTTGAGATATATTGCATGGTAGAGCATGGCATTTAAATAATCTATAAACATATGACAGTCACACATTTAATTTATATTTATATTTATTAGCATTTTAATAACCGCTTTCAAACACTGTACATCTACAATATCATGATATCATAATACATAACATGTGCTTTCTACGCAGTTTCTACACAATACAATCGTACCTAAAGATCGAAGACCGTCGTTCGCGCCTCGTACACCCGACAATGTGATCGTACGTTGAACAAATGTTTGCAAATTTACCAGCACTGTAAATAGTGCAAAATATCATAAAACTTTTCTATTTAAATATCTTGTTGTGAGTTTGCAGAATTTGTTCTATTATAATATTGTATTCGCTATGGTATGGGTGCATGTTTTTTAAGCCATTCGCATTTTGCTTAACTTGTGTTGCGATGTGTTTGTGTGTTTTTTTTTTCGATCCCTGTTTTTTTGTACATATTTCTCATGTCACGTATCCGAATTCTTTAGGATTTTTTTTACAAACCTATCGTTGCAAATTAATATTTCCTAACAGCCTACACAAAGCTAAGTTCATAGCACAGAGTTTTTTTAATAAAAAAACTATAAACACTATATAATGTGCACTAAGTATAAAAAATATATATTTGCAGTAAACTAAAACATATTATATCAATAGGTGAGGCGATGCTGTCACCACTAGTGATGTGCGGTCCGCAGGGTCTGGTATTTTTAAAACCGGTGACGTTACGATTACCGCACTGCGCTAACGCGGTCCCATCACTAGGACTCACAATCAAGGCGACAGACACGGAGGCCCACTTGAGCACTGACTGGGATCAAATACATCTCCCGGCGACAACAACACTCAACACCGTCGCTGTCAAAGTTGATCATTTTTAAAAAAAGAACGCCAAATAAAAACGCATCGGTCTCCAGTGATACAGCTCAGTTATTATATTATTAATAAATAATATTGTACCCAAATATATATTATTCCTTATATACTAAAGAATTCACACTAGTATTAAAATCATTTTAATGGATTCTATTTTATCTTTCGACATAATACCCACCTCGTTTATTAGATTTATTGAATTACAATAAAATAAGATTGTGGTGCTAGACAGTGACAATTAAAATGAATTATGTAAGAATGCATATCGATTGTCTAAATTAGATGTTAATGGCCAATATGGCGGGAGAGTGTCACGTATAAACGATTTACCTTATCATAGTTTAAGAATGTATATTTTAATACGAGACGGAAGGTCGAGCACAGGATAAAAAGAAAATTGGCTTCCGTAGAAAATAATTTTAATTGTTGCATTTTAATTAAATGTAGTTTTTAATATGTTATTTTTAATCTGTAATCGGCCTCAACGGCTTAGTCACATGCCTATATGTAAGTAAGAGTATACGTTAGCGAACGCATGTATGTATATTTTTTTTTGTTACTAGTGCTTCGCTGGACTTACCTTGACTCGATTATTAAATTTTATATCTAAAAAAAACTTTCATTTCGAAATTCCCTCATACACGAAGCAATTACGATTTTTAATTTTAATTAATGGATCATGCTATACATATACGACCTATTTAGTATTTGTACATGAAATAAAATTAAATAACAAATATATTGATAAATATTATTAACATCGATTATTCTATGTTTAACCTATTACAAAGGAATGTCTGAAATCAGTTAAATTTGAAATCTTTTATTACGAACGCCGTCCAAATGATTGATGACACTTGCTTTACTAATGGCGTTTTCTTTACACAGCCTTCTTAGATGTTGAAATGAAAATCACTATAAAGAAAAGTACAACAAACACACACACACACACACACACACACACACACACACACTCACTCCCACACATACACAAATAAAAAGTATTTCTTAAAATTGTTTCAAAATAAAATATGACATTTGGTATTAAAACAATGTGTAAGAAGTCGATTAAAAAAATACGACATAAATAGCTTTTTAACGAAGGTTAATGTGTGATATTAAGATAATCATTATTATGTTTACCATTAGTTTCAATACCACACTGCATACGCGTCGTTTTTCGTTTCCTATGAATGGAGAACTAAAAAACGCTTTTCATTATAAGATTAGAAACTTGTGGTAAGCGTAATTACAATACGTTTTAACACTTGACAATGACCCGTCTTCAACCGCAGACATTAAATATTGCGAGAAATAATACTAATCACAATAACAGTAAAAACTATCGCATTAATTGTTTCATATCAATAATAATCCATTGACTTTTTGACGAAATTAAAATACGATCATATTATTTTTTATCTGTGCAATATTTAATGACTATCGTATAGATTAATTTCATTAAATCGAACGCTACCGTTGATAAAAATTTTGTTGGTTCATCAAAATACGTGCCTGAAAAACTTAGAAGATAATGTTTGATTCGGGCACGGCCTCATTACACACGCAACGGGTCATTAAGAGCCGGTTGATTGCTTTGAGACAACGCTTGTCAGAGCCTCTTAGCTTGCGACACGAACAGACGAGGTGCGTTTGATCATTGTATGAGACAGCACCCTCGCTGGTACATCGGTACATTCGATATAAACCAGGATAACTAGGTCGATCTTATCTTGATTTCGGTTGCACAACCTCAAGAATATTGTTCCTCGGAATTATATCTCAGATATTATCGAATTATTTAGCAAATACTTACTCGACAAATGATATACAATTTAAATTTAACGCGTCATGACTACGATGTCACTTACGGAATTCTATGTAGTATAATTTAACTATGAAATATATCTCCTTCTTCTAGCTGGCAATTTGCCAGCTTTAGCCAGGGTCTGCCTTATATGTTGTGAATAGTTTTGGCTGATTGTTTTTACGGCCGGACGCCTGAATGACATCAAACCTCTTTGGGAATATATATATAGTTAATTTTTTTTATGTATTATCTAAATGTCATATATATAATATAATTGAAATCACAATTAACACATTTCAAAAGTTCTGTTTAGTAATCACGATCGTCGTGAGATAGACGTCATTACAGTGTGTGTCGATTGCTGTAGAGTATGGACGTGACCCTGCAATATATTACGATGTTATTTATTTAATTATAAGAGAAATATTCAGATAAATAATATTATAAAGTCCTAATACTGTACATATGTAATATTGTGTCAAGATTCTATCTTAAACCGTCCACGGACGCTACAGTTAGATTAGACTTTATTAGGTATATCTTTCCCTGTTTTTTTTCTCTTGTATAAATTTTATTTCTACTAAAACTAAAATAATATTGCATTTAAAATAATTATGTTATCCTCGACTGCACGAAGTTAACATAATGTCTTTATTTTTGTATAAAATACATTATTATTCAGACGGTCAACTCCCAAATATGTAAGCTCATCTGTTTACACAACTCTAACTGACCCCGGGTCTTAAAGATAAGTTGTTTACGGAATTTAATTTTATAGAATATTTTTATAAAATTCGTTTATTCTTAGCATATTTTTAAGCCTAATATTATAACCGATCTTTAAACATATGCAAGCCTAATTCATGTATGTACTCGTATTCCAATTATATCACACATTATGTATTCACATTAAGTAAATAATCCACAAAAAACAACGGGGAGAAAGAAAAAACTTTACAATAGTAAAATCATGCCTTGAATTTAGAATAAAACTATTTCTTATTATCACATAAACCTGTTAATCCTATATATCACACACTAATTCTTTTAATTTTTAATGAAATTTGAAAAGTTTAATATATATATATACGCTTTATTTACTTTAGCAATTTTTAATTTATATATAAATAATATTTTAATCTACATTTACGATATATCTTAACACAGACAATCACAATTAAGATGCTCTTAAACGACCATTAAAATAACACTTATGTTATTATTCGTTAATTAAATGTGTTTATATAGAAATAAAACGGAAAATTTTATATTGTGTTCAGTCAAAAGTATTTTTATACCTATTTCAGTTAAGATGACTGTATGATACTTCTTTTCTTCTCCTTTAAAACATGAAGTAAATTATAACAATATTGTGAGCTCGAATATAATCTGAACTGAAAAATTGACTCATATTACCCATAATATACAAATTTATTTTACAAATTAACGTATTAATTCCATTAAAAATTTCATCTTAGTTATTAATATTTTAATCTACTTGAAACTATAATTAAAACGTTTGTTCGTGTTTATAAACCACGATATGCTTTGGAACCTCATTACGCTGATGATTTACAGCGAATATGATGAAATATTAACAGATGAAATACTCCTTAAATGTGTTCATCGATGGCATTGGAATTACAAATACAAACAACCAAAGTTATAAAGAATTATATGACAATTCGTTAAGTAATTAACAATTACTTAATTACTTAGCTGGCACATAAATTGTTGAGCTTTTATTGACAGTGATCAAACCTAAACAGTACTTTAAGTTGTATTCTTAGTATGGTTGGATATTATTTAGTGTTTAAATTGATATATTTCGTATATTACAGCAATATAACATTATATCTGAAGCCTCAGTGTCGTACATTCTTACAATCTCATACATCATTCTATGTGTAAGCGCTCCACAATGCTATAAATGCAATAAACACAAATTATACGTTATATAATACACGCACAAATGTAGCTTTAATATCTGCTTGAATATTTTCATGTCATAGGTGAAGATTCAACGTGACTGTAATTTTGAAACCTTCTGCTCCAAGCACGAGGCCCGGTGACCACTCAGCCCCCGTGTAACCTTATCGTAATCAGTTTTCGGACTATCATTAAAAGTAAAGACGCTGTCTGATCTGTGATTACAATTTTTTACTTACACAACATAATAAATAAACTTGTTGTTTTTTATCAAAATATTGCTTTATTTATTTCTGTTATCTAGGTATTCGATTTTTTTTTGAGTAGAGATTTATCTCGTCTTTAGAAAAATTCGTTAAGCAAAGCAGTAAAGGATAATATAACGCTAATGATTACCATTAGCTATACACGCAGTACATATTTATATTTTCAAATACTTGAGCTAGACCTCAAGTATTTGTTATTGTATTCTCTTAATATTAGATATGTTTATTATATATTCTGTACTCTTTTACACAGATTAAATTAAAACTTTTAATTGAACATCGTTTCTAGTGTGTATTATCTTTTTTCCGACTGTTAAAAAGCTCATTCATTATTATATTAAAACAAATATTTCAGCTGCCAACGACACAACCAAAGAATCATTTCTATTAGAATTTCATATTTGTAGTATTAGGATTTCTGTCAATATTAGTATCACAAGAATTAATCTATATTGAATCGTGTGAAAATAAAAAAAAATACACCAAATACATCGATCTATTGTACAATTGTATTGTAATGTGAGCACTTGGACAGACACATGTTGAAACATAGTTGTATAGTAATTAGATAAGGCGGTAAGAAAATATGGTGTATTGAGTTACTTTTGAGATGTCAAAAATCAATCGCCGTAATAAATATGTTGATCTTGAAAATACGTTTGAAAAACATTAATATTATAGCTATAAATAAATCATTATTTTTGATAAGAAGATAAAATGAGAATTGCAGGATCATAAAAATTATATATTGTAACAAATATTATTTTCTTTGTTCTGTTTTCAAAGTATATATATACTATATACCCGTTATAATATATTTCATTCATCTACATATTTATCAATCAAGATTCTTAATTATAAAAACTATGAATACAATTTCTTTATAAAAAATACTTACTAAAAAACTATGCATCCCTGACCTTTTTGCTTAAAACAAACTAACCTTTTTAGATATAAAAGCGGATGTTGCCACTACTATAAATAGAATTAAATATAATAA